AAGAAGTTTCCTTTGCTGCTTCTGTGCTCAGAACTAAGGAGATTTCAGCTGTCAAGGCCATGTGATCCTCTTCAGAATAGTTGGGCTCTCCTTAAGGAGAAGGTGGCTGTGGCAAACTAAACATTTATTAGAACTGACACTAATTTTTCTGTTCTCTACTACTATGTGGGTGGTAGAGCTTTGCTGGTCAACACAAAGCATGTCCTGTCCATTTGCATAGCTGGTATTTATTGAGACAGTGTGGCTGGAGCACTGGTTACTCTTCTGCATAAGTAAATTGAATAAATAATATGGTACCAATTTAAGCGCTTCAGTTTTCCCATTCTCACTTTATTTGCCAGCCAAGGATATGCTTGTTGGTCACACTCCAGAAAGCCCAATTACATGAAGGTGTTCCTAATGTTTACAGATTGTAGCAAATGTGGTGCTATGCAGGAAAAAAACCCATTTTTCTTAAAATTTTTGTCCAAATACGTTTCTCTTTCTTCTTTCTGAGTGTTGTTTGTGCTTAGGTCTCAGATCTCATACTCACTTCTCAGGCATATAGTCCTCCTCTGTAATTTTGCCTGTCACCAGTGAGATTTCACTGGTCCTACTGTCTCTGCTACCACAACCCAAGGTGCTGAGAAATTTACTGCTTTTGGGTATTCTTAGTACTTCTTTAGAGGTGAGCTGTCAGCAGTGCTGTTTCTGAGCCCACCCACACAATGTATGATCCCAGTGAGCCTCTGAGTCCCTCAGAGGTGACCCCCATACTTCTTTGTGCTGAACTGGGCAGCCTGAAAATCCCTTTGCATGCACAGTTGTGAGACTGTGCCTGCCCCTTTGCAAGGCTGACAGGCACTGAAGGACTAATGTCCTTTGCATGACATAAATCTTCCAAAAAGTGGCTGGTTTAGTCAGTCAAATGAACACAGCTGTTGGGCCTAGACAACACCCTGCAGCCACAGGTGAGTTAGGTAGCAAGAAGTTAAAGCTTCCCCACTTCTTGTATGTGTGAGCAGCAATTGGACTGGGGCAATAGTCTACCTTAGAATTGTGTTACCATGCTTGCTGGATCAGTACCCATGGAACTGCACTAGTGATACCAAAGCAGTGGTAGGAAATCCTGGATAAGTGATCAGAACGTGAGAATCTCTTATAGCTTCACTACCTTTGCTAACTCTGTTTCCCTCAGCTGCTTTGCTTTTCATTGCTGTAAGTTATCATTATCTTTTGACTAGGTTGTGCTGTATCCAGTCTAACAGTGATGGGGGATAGGCCTAATTTTAGCAGTAAACTCTTTCATCTTCTGACTAATTTGCACTGCAGATTCCAGTAACAGTAGCTGCTTGTGTCACTGCTTCAGGAGAACACGTGGCTATTCACTGTTCTCTCACCAGCCTTAAAATAGCCTTTTAGTTAAGGGCACAAAGAACAACACGTCTTTTGGTGCAGTAGTGTGGCCTTGCAAAGACCCCCCATTTACAATCAAACCTGTTGTTTGGCATTTTGTCACAGCATAAAACACTTGAATTCTGACCTAGGTGCAGCTCGGTATGTTACGCAGATTCTTCTCAGCATAAAACATTCTGGTCTGTTCCTGTTATGTCAGTCACAGGCCCTGTCTAATGCTGAATCTGAGCAGCTGTGTATCCCCAGCCTCCTGGGAAGTGGTGGAGGAACACACAGCCAAACATTCCTAGTAAATATGGAAGGGCTAAGTAACTATCAGCCACTAGGTTATATTCTTTCAGCAGCCACTCTCACATTCAGCAATGGAAAATGCATGTGTATGAATGGCATTACTTCTGTGCTGCCAGTGAAGATTTAATGTGTGCCTTCACTTTGTCTCGTGTTAGAGATTTGGCAGACCTGGAAAGCTTCAGAGTTCTAAGGAGAGTTGATACTGTTTTCTTTGATAAGCTGTTCAGTTCTCTAGGATTTGGAATATGTCCTTATCTTCAGGATGTTTTGCAAAATTAATTGGTGAACAAAATAATTGTAATCCCTGATACTAATGGAGGCTAATATTCTCTTAAGTTATTAATTTTTCACAATCATTTTTCTTATGCTTCTGCTGCTCATGGCCTGCAATGTGCAGAGTTACAATAGTTTATATTACCAACATACCTTTTGTGTGAGAGTGGAATTGAAGGAGTAGGACAAGTAACTGTAAATGGCTTTAAAAAATGCATCTTCCTCTACTTCTGTCAGTCTACTTTTTTAAGACCAGGTAGACTATAGTGCAAACTCACAAGTTCTCCTCAGCACCTTGGTAGGCTGACAGGCTGGGCTTTGTTTTCTTTTTAATTAATATAGTCACGGTGTCAGTAAGAAATAAGTGGCACGCTTTTTTTCCATTACTGTAAATAGACCTGCTGGCCAAAGTCTTCGTAAGTATCACACCACTGGAGAGTAGAGATTTATATGAAGGTTGAGCTTGGCTCAGAAATCTACACTTAATAGAAGATGTCTCATACTATACATTTATATTTATACCTAATTCATATTTATACCTAATTAAAATCACTAACACTCACGGAGTACACTTGAAAATGGTTTTGCTTTTAGAAAGCATGGTATGTGAAGCTTGTTTTTTTTTTTTTTTTCCAAAGGGTATGCTAATCATTTGCAGTCTTTCTTTGTAGCACTAATCCTCTCTCTAGATTTGTGTCCTGCTGTTTTTACAGCAGTCTGTGCAATGCTGGCAAACACTAGTCAGCCTTTCGTAGAGAGAATTCCTGATGTGGTGTGGCTGGTATTAGATTATATGACTGATATTCTTTCAGAAGTGACTGGATGGAGAAGGAATAGATTGCAGGCAAGAATGTAATAAACATGGTTATACTAGTCTGTAAAGCACTATTAAGTGCTGAGTGTATTAGACTGAGAAAAGAATTAGCAGCTCCCTGCCTTGGTTCAGGCCTTGATAGGTTCTGCACTGTGTAGAGCACTCACTTTATTACACGTTGTTTGAGCTGTCTAACCAAAACACATGATTGTAGATTGAAATGCTGTAATACTGTGCCTTTGTATGTTCTTGTATTAAAGTTAACTGTAATACACTTTAAGTCTTTACACTAAAAAAATGGTATAGTGTACAGTTAATACCATATTTTCAGTGCTTAGCCAGAAACTGTTACTCTCTCTGAGGAACTCTGGGATTGCTGAAACCTGAGGCACTGTTGTGGTGAATTCATGTTTTGGACCTGTGCTGCTTCTGTGGTGTTGTGTTGGTTGATGAGGATGTGCAGAAAGGGGTATCATCCTTTTAGTGGCTGTGTTGTACAAATCGTGTTGTATATGTAATGAGCAGATGGGATACTGTGATCATTTACAGGAAGGATATAGTAGATATTTGGATGATTTAGGTTACATGGATCTGGAGCAAACGTTCATTTGGTTAAAAAGACATTGTGGTTGATTTTCTGCAGTCTTTATTTAAAAACCAGAAACAATACAGTTTGGCTGCAAAATTTATTTTTATACAGGTGAAGTGTTGAACATTTCTCACTCATAGCTAGTTAGTCAGATCAGACACTGGGTGACAAAACCACTCTGGGTGATTAGACTCCAGCACTTCCATTGCCAGCAATGGACATTACAGCAGGAGCATTTGCTTGCAAAAAGATCAGCTATTCTGACAGGTGTGGCACTCATTTAGATGCACAAAGAGAGTGGGGCTCTTCCCTGCCACCTGTATACAAAACTCCCACCAGCATTTAAATTTTTCACACACATGTCTGAGGGAACAAGAGAGCCATTGTGCATCCATTGGCAAAGTTGAGAGATCAGGCAGAGCTGTTTTTCCAGCACTGCCAGATTGTGTCTCAAGGAACTTGGTGTAAATGCTTTAAGACATGTTCATCTTTCACTGGGAGCAAGGGAGGAGTACTTGATCTGAGAGGGTAGCAGCTAAGCTTGCTCCCACCATAGTCTTTATCTACTTTACACACTCAGAGCACTCTCTGGTTCCCCTGGCACCAAAACTATGTTTCTACAAAGCTCTTAGAGATTAACAAGTGCTGAATCAAATTTTACCACTCAAACTGTCTGCCAAACAGGAAGCAGAAAAGATCAGGACAAATTAAAGCTATTATTCTTGTCTCGTGAGGGAATGTCTGCATAACTCCAAACAGACCATTTTTGTAGAGCAGAAAAGTCTCTTTTCAACAGACCTCTGTTAGACTGAGTTCTTCAATTCTGATTTGGACTGAATAGCTCATCTGTATCTTGAAATAGGAGCAACTAAAAGTGATGGACCCATACCCCAGACTCATTTCAGAGCTTACTAGAAACTGCACAGTAGAAAGTGGTTGTAAGTTTCCAAGAGCATTATAATGTGGAAAAAAGATTATTTAATTTAAGCAAGGCTGTGGTAAGTCAGGGGATGGCTTGCAAGTTAGCAGCATGCAGGAAGGACAGTTACATTCTGACAGTAATTGGCTGTCAGTCTGTCATGTACAGCACATAACCAAGGGACCAGAGGATGGAACCCAGCATCTTACCTTTCAATCTGTCCAGTTATTTACTACCAAAGGGCATCTCTTCACTCTTGGAATTGCCAATAGGAGGAAAAAAATTACATTACCTTAGTTTCCAAAGACTTGGAGTTTGTGCATTTGATAAGAGCATATGCAATAAGGGGCATTTTCTTTCCAGAAGACAACAGCTCTTACTGTGTGTCTGTCTTTGAATGGAGGAGATTCAGGCTACTAGAAGGGGCTCTCACAGGGTTTCTCCACTCCCACAGAACATTGAAGTCCATCTAAACTTTCTCTAAATCCAGTACCTGAATGGAATTCTCATACTACATCTAAGACAGAAGTGTTACAGATATTTGAAAGCACATGCTCACTTGAGCTTCTCTTGTAGTAGTGTTTCAGCAACTCAGTTCATTCAGTGTGTGATCAGAAGATCGATCAACAAGATTAATATTTTTTAAATGGCATTTCTTCTGGGATATGAAATTACAGGTAGTTTGGCACAAGTACAGGTCATGGGCTCTAGTTCCTCTCTCAGGCTGGGAGGTTCTTTTGCTTGTTTACAGCATTCATGAGCAGGCGTACGTAGGATGTTAACAGGTCATCCATTTTGTAACCCTGTCAGGAAAGAAAAAAAGTCTTAAATCTATCAGAGAGCTCCAGAAGCAAAAATAACTATCATTTCCTCCCTTGTCTGTCATCATCTCAGGTTCTTCCTTGCATGAACTTTTATTTCAATATCGTTTCGTTTAGTTATAATTTATCCATTCCTCCCTCTGCTTTTTATGGATTTCCAAAACTTTACAAACCGTAGCTCTGCTGTCTCCTTGGTATTCACTCTGTAGCTTGACTTGTACTTAAGATTTTAGTTTTCAAGAATTCAAGCTTTTCTGTCAGAGTAGTTAGCCTTTAAATGTCTTTGTTATCTTTACAAACCAACCTTTAAATATTAATACAGTGATGCTTCTCTTAGACTGTGAATAGTCTGAAACCAGTTGTTAAAAAGGTGGCACCACTCCCTGGAAAATATGAAGTCTTATAAGACTGGCACTACTACGTAACTGGAGGCAGACATGCAAGACAAAAAGCTTCTTATGTAGCTTTGCATTCTTAACTTCTGAGATGGATAAAATTTTGATGCATGGGAAGAATCTGGGAAATTACTGTTTTTCCTTGTGTCCTGTGTAATGCATCCTTGCATCAGATAACATTATATATGAACTGAACCAGTTCTAAAAGGCAGTTTTATTGACACAACAGTGAATGCTTTTGGTATTTATGGTATAATTGGTATAATTATGGTCTGTGTGGTATAATTATTTTGGTATAATGCTGCACTGATATTTATCTGTTTTCACACCATCTTTTGTAGGAGTTGGGGTTGGAAAAGAAAAATTGGGATTTTATTGTATCTTAGTTGGCAAAATTCTTCTTACCAGAGATGTCTCACATAAGAGCCGGTTTCCTCGTACCAGGTTCCCTATGGTCATGTGAAAGTATGTGCTCCCACTGCTCCAGTTGGAGATCTTATTGAAGGGGTAGACTACTAGAATATCCTGTAAGGGGAAACAAAGTGATCTGTAGAACATTTAGGCTGTTACATAAGAAAACCTGTAGAGCTAGAGTATTCTTGTTCTTTCTGCTTCATTTATAAAAATCATGGATCAAGGTACTTTTTGCATCCAGATTATCAGTATATTGTATTTTCTCCAAAATCTTAATCACACTAGTGAGACTTCCTTTCATTATATATTGATCTTTGCTTTAGCACACTGCCATTAGATTTACAATAATCTAAACCTACCTTTTAATTTGTTTGGTTATTGAAAGCAAATAGTGATACTCCCTTCTCCTGAGAACTTGCTAAGTCCAGACCGTTTGTGTTAAGACTGCAGCTAAACATGGCCATTCAGCCTGATCTCTTAGACAGCTGGGGCTTCCTGCAAAGCATTTTTCTGCAGCAGGTTCCTGGGTGCACTGCCTATCCCTCTTCCTGATCTTACCACCTTGCCAGGTCTATGATGATTGCCATGTCTTTTTTCAGAGATGCTCTATCCTATTCCTTTCCAGAGTAGAAACTGCAAAGAAGCGATTTGAGGCAGTAACATTTTCTTCAGTTTCACACAGGAAAAAATTAATAGAGAGCATCTATTCTCTCCTACCATTCCTGGGCAGGGTCCTATCACTGTCCCTAAATTAGCAGGGTCCATTCAATCCTTCCTTAGATGGACTTGTGAGAAGCAGCTGTTTGTTACCTTTGTCTTCTGATGGATCAGTGAGACTCCTTGCTTGTTGATTGCAATCAGTACAATCTCTGGGAAATTGGGCTCCGAGGCTTGCTGTAAATGAGTAACACAGCAAGATAAGCAGAAAATTGAGAAATTATCTGTATCAGGGGCCTAGTGACCTTTAACAATGTCCAGTGCTTCTTGTTCTCTTTCCCAAATGAACACTGAAACATTTTGACCATATATTGATGACTTGAGCAAATGCTCCATGAGAGCAAAATCAAGTCCGTTATTTACTATGCTGTTTGATAGCAGGTTTAATGATTGATTGCAAACAATTTAAGAGCCTAGTGAGGATAAATTAAAGGTAACACATGGGATATTATTCTTAGATATACACTCTAGAATGAGAGGATTAGTACCATTCTGTTCTGAGGGAAGAGTCAACAAAGAGATAAGATTTGGCAGCATTTTCTTGTGGAGAGCAATGATAGGACAATTCAGCCCCCTACAGCTACTACACAATTGTAGTAGAGGTATTATAACTAGAGCAACAACATTGCCAGTAAACAACAAGAACAACAAGCATAGTTCAGAATGGATAAAGAATCCATCTCCCAACTTTGAAGGACCTGAGTTTTCTTCTTAGATTACAGGAATTCAGTTTTATAATGTTTTTTTACTTTCAGATATGGAATTGTAGTCAGTCTGTATCCCTTGGCACTGATCTACTACCAAATCCACTAGCACAGGGCTTCAAACCTACCTTCACCTCAAAAAAGGCTGAGCCAAATGTTGGCCACCGGTGTATCATTTTCAAGAAAGCAATCTTGGCCTCATCCACAGTTTTTCCTTCATGTTTACTATATGCTGCAATAATGCTCTGTTTAGGAGAAGAGGATACAAAGCCAGCTGAGTTGGAGACAGGCAGGTTTCCAATGCCTAGTCTTAGCACTAAAGACAGCATCAGCTCATCACCACAATCAGGTTTTTTGCCCCAGCAGCAGAAAATTGAAAATGAAAACAGCTTCTATGTCATGGGGCAAGGTAAACCAGAACCCTCCAGTGTTCCTTATTCCTCTGCTGGGTGAAGGAAGCCCAGCAGCCTGAGGAAATTGACTTCAGGGCAGAGGGGTGAAGTGAGATAAAACTCAGAAAGCCAGTGTTCAATACCCACAGACATGTATTGATTGCATCTTTGGCTGAAAAATGAAGGGTGAATTTTCCCTTTATATTTGAAAGAATGTTCTGTGTTTTCCTCAGCAGACTGAGTGGTAAGTACCTGCTAAAACCACCTTTCCCTTTTTGTGGATAGAAGAGCCTTTTACTGTAAGTAGCATGAACACAGTTCATGGAGATTGATTTGCTGCCAAGAGATACTTATGAGACACCTTAATTTTCTGTTTCTGTCTGATATCCTCAGCTTCTGAGTCCCATTGCTGACTCTCCAATCTCTAACTCTTTATCTGGGCACTAGAAATGGATTAGTATCTCCAAGAAAGATGCACACTTCAGATAAGCCATCTAGGTCTGCAGATACGTTTCAGAATTTTGGTAGAATATGTAAAATCTGCATTGTAAGAGGCAAATCCTTTTGCTATCTTGCTGGCAAATCCAGTAATATCCAATACCGTCCCTGTAGAGTACTTTCAAAGACCATCAGATCAAAAATGTAGTGTGGCTCAATGTGTTTTCTCTACTAAAGCTCTGTAAATGTAATATGACTAATGAAAACTGATGTTCTTACCTTCTTCCATTCATCTGGTGCCACTGCTCGGAGCAGATTGTCTGGCACCAGCTCCTTCAGGATTTTGGGGATGGCTGCCAGCTGTGTGCGGTCGTTGTTGAAGCGCGCTTTATAAATCAGCCCTGCCAGCTGCACAGCTTCATCCTTGGAGCACTTGTGGTAACCTCTGAGGTACTTTGGCAGCTCCTGGAAGAGACCAGCTCTGAATCCAGACAGAATGGGCTAAAGCAAGCATTGACTTAAACATTCTAAATTTGTGAGGGCAGGACGCAAGTCTTGCCAAACACAGTCCAAGGACATCCCAAGAAATTTTAGCTCCTTCTGAAGGTTCTCTGGATGATCTTTAAAGATCCTTTCCAACCCAAAACTTTCTGTGGCTCTCTGATTTATGGAGCAAGATGAGCAATTCCACAGTACAATGAGGTAAAGGAGCTGTACTCTTTTAACATGTTCAGTATAGCTAAGCTGTGAACACTGAGAAATAAATCTGTTCTGAGGCTGAGCTGTGCCCCCCCTCTCTGGAGGAGGTATTCCTCTGGAGGGTCTATAATGCAGGCTTTCAAGAGGGAGACAGTAGTACTTCTACAGACTTAATTTCTCACAGGAAATTAAAGTATCACAAGATACCTCTTTAGGGAGCTGCGTACCTGGTGGTAATGGAAAATGGTATCAGCTTTCAGATCCTTGCCAGGAGTGACATTCAGCCACAGCTTCCTCATGAAGTACACCTCATAGGCCACAGACAGAGCAGCACCTAAGGAGATCAGATTTTTTTAAGTGTTCTCTGTGTCACTGATAGTCCTATAGTGTTTAAATGGCTTGTGAATTTCTTCAGAAAAGTAATTATAGTTTTAATAGTAACAAACAAAATTACTAACAAAACAACACAAAAAGCCATTTTAGATGACAAAAGAAATTAATCATTTTTCAGTTCTTGGACATTGTTCATATAATGATCAGATGTAGAAGTTGAGGGACTACCATAGAGTGTTTGTTATTGGTGCTCATGACAGCTGCCTGCTGGTGTGCAGTACACCCAAATTCTCTTACACAGATGAGAATACATCTCCTGATGGCTGTGCTTCTGCAAATGAATTGTGATTTAGTGCATCCATAGTTTAAACTCTGATTTTTAGAGCTCCTAATAGCTACATCAGCTGAGGGAAGAGAAGTTAGGTCTTAGATATATAGACAGAACTTCAGGGACTTGAACCTCAGCTGTCCTGAAATATGCAAAGGTGAAGACAAATTGTTGATACAGAGTTTGATATTGATTTCAAAATATATATTATCTTTGGGGGGGGGGGGGTGTGAGATACACTTCCCAAGATTGAGTGAATCCTACTGGATGGATCAGCTACTTTCCAGTTCAACACAGCATCTCATGCAGCTTCTTGTCTTGCTGGCGTTCTCCTTACCATCTTTTCCTGGCTTGTTCCTCCTGTTCCAGTCTGTCACCTGCCTTAATGAGTCAAAGAAGTAGTCTGCTTCATTCTGACTGATCACCTGCAGAGGCCAAACAATGGAGAGAAAGGAGGGGTTTGCACATCATATAAAATACTGCCTGTCCCACATACCCAAGTATCAGGCTGAATTTTCTTTCCCTGTCTACAGTGAGAGGGCAGAATAATAGCAGGAAAGAAGTAGAAAAATAGAAGGAGGAAGGCTAAATTTACTTATATTTCATATGGGGACCTTTATTGCATCTTCTGTTGCTTTTTCTTTCCAGGTTGCTTATTGAAGTCAAGCTGAAGATGCCTAGCTTATTCCCAGTTGTCTTCTCTTTGTGATGTGTTGTTACATACTGTGTTTCTCTTTTCAGGAAGGCAGCACACCAGAAACTCCCTGTGCTAGGGCTCATTGCTGCTTTTGCTTTAATCAGAGTTTCAAAGAGAAGGGACCTCTCAGCGAGACAGCCAGCCCAAGCTTCAGCTCAGGCAAGGCAGGCTCCCAACAAACCAGAGAGTATTAACTGGTGTTAGTTGCCCCTGCTTTCCCTATTCCTAGAGAGCACTGTACATGTGCAGCACATCTGGGCAAAGTCTGAGTTAAAAAGGGTTGAATCCAGCAGTATGCAACCATCCTAGCAGGCTGGACCACCTACATCTTCTCTGCTTTTAGTTCCACCTGGGTACTGGCAGAATGATACAAGCTCTGCATCTCCTTCCAGCTTCTTCAAGAGATTGAAAAGAGTTGTCAAGTGCTAAAAGTTCAAGTTTAGGTTGTATCCCCTCAGTAAGACAGAAGCAGTAATCACCTGCTCTGGTCCTTGGCTTTGGTTGTTTAGGTAGCCTGGTAAATAAATAAGAGAGGATGGGCAGCCTGGCTACCCTGCCAGAGTCAAAAAGGGGTTACCTTGTCTGCAATCTTCACAAAGAGGCTGAAACCTTCCCAGGAGTGCAGCTGCAATTTGGAAGCGATGTTCTGACATAGAGTCTGGATTTTGGTGTTTGTTCCCACATCAAAAGTCTGTGAGATAACAAGATTCTTGTTACAACAGAGGAGAGGAAGAAATAAGAATATTGAATGTATTCACACATGCTCCTGGATGAGCACATCATGGCTGGAATAATGGTCAAGGCTGGGAAAACAATAAGTGCTCACCAGTTCTGTTTCGTTGGGGAAGCAAATCTTGTGTGAGATCTTAGTGTTGTTCTGTAAGATGGCCTCAACCTCCACAGGATGAGGTGCCCACTTCCTACAGCCGCTCCTGGAAAATGCCACCAACCATCATAAGAGAGATCAGTTTAGTCACTGTGGAAATGAACAACAGTATTCCAGCCAAACAGCAGACACCCTCCAAAATGCCAGTACTCTGCGATGGGGTGGGCTCTAGTGGACCTCCACCCCCGTTCAAATTCAGTGTATTAACAGCAAGAAACTGAGGGTCTTAATGGCATGTAAAGTGAAAGTCTCTTCTGCTCTGCAAGAAGGCTGCATGAAGAAGGCACCTTCCTAGCCAGCACCGTTGCCTCTTCTATGGATTCAGCAGCATTTTTCCTTACTGACATGTGACTATAATGGCTATAAGGAGAAGTACATTTTATTTAATTCCTGCATCAGCAAAAAGGTATGTATTTGGAAACAAAATTACTTGGAGCTGAAGTACCAAAAAGGTCTGGAGGGCTGCTTGAAAGCATTTTATATAAGAGCTGGAGTGCAATCACTGACTTAGGAGGTGCTTAAGCTGTACAAACACATTTCTTTGAAATTATACCTCAGAGCAGAGCTGCCTTTTATAGCAAAAGAACTGGCCTTGAAGCCTCAGTCATGCCAAAATCTTGACATAGTTAAAAGTGAGAACAAATCTAGCAAATTACCTCCTGGGGCTGGTAAGTTCCTGTCTTCAGTGGCACAGAGCAAGGCTGTTCAGGTATTTTGAACACCATAGCTTATGGGCCTCTCACATAGGGTCAGGCTCTCAGGAGGCGGTTCCTCTGGATCCAAGCTTTAATTGTGTGGATTTGAAAACTACTTTTTTTTTCATTCAATAAAGGATCATTTCCATTTGGAAAAGGAAAATTTCACTGTAACCAGGCTGCACAGCATGTGCTTTGTACTGTGCAGGCACTGTATGAAGTGTGGACCTGTCACCTTTTCCTGACCTGCCATCAAAGGGAGGCCCTGGGAGCTCAAGGAATTGCAGTACTTTGGCTGCAGAGGCATGAGGCTAACCACCTGTCCTTGCAGCCTGAGCTAGGAATTCACTGCCAAGGTGAGATCTGCTTAACACCCATCACAGTGGTTCCCTTTCCAGGATTCTGCGGTTGAAGATGTAAAGTGGTTTATGGCAGAAAAGGTGTGTTCCCAAGGCTCAGTTGGGTTCTCCTGTGTGTATTTAAGTCAATCCTTTGAGCTGCCTGCTCTGCCCTTTCAAAAGAGACCAGGTTACTTACAGGGAGCAGTTGAACTAGATGATCATTGAAGATCCCTTCCAACTGAAATAGTTTATTCTATTCTATCCTAAGTAGATGAAAGTTTAATCTTATGAAAAGAACTGCTCTTAGAAGACAAGATTTGTCTTTGTTCCACTTCCCATCCCCCAGGCTCCAGATCTGGGGCAGTTTAGCAAATAAAATCCTCCTTCCAAGCAGCCCATTCTGCTTTCCCCTCCCTATTTGCCTCTCTAAAGAAGCTCTGTGCAGCTCAGCAGGGCTTAGAGCATGAATAGCACATGATATAGAGAGGCAGGAATTTTTAAGTCTTCTCTGTAGAAATAAACAATGAATAGCATTCCTTGCCATGCATTTTTCAGACACTTCAAAAGCGAGTTCAATGTGTGGTGACATTTCACCAGCAGTGCCAAAGCTCATCCACTGCAAGGGGGATATCCACTGTGTTAGTGTTCCCCTAGAGCCTGACCCGTGGGATTCACAGACCAAACATGTGGCCCAGCTTGAGGGAAAGGGGAAGATGCAAGAGCTGGAAGAATAAATCATTGGGCATATTCTTTACTGATGAGGTCTGTGGCAGGCAAGTGGTAAATCACAGCACCATCAAAAGGGAGAAGGCTGGAGTCAACCTTGATGCCAAAGCTTTGTTCTCAGAGGGGCAAGCTGGGTTATCCTAGTGCTTGGAGGAATCTAGGGAACCCTTTCTCCTACAGTTCAGTTGATCCTTCCTGAAATCCTGTTAGCCCTTCCCCTCTCTTTAGTTTTGTCATGTCCCTTAGAATGACAATTCATTTGGAAACTCGGGAAGCACTGTGTTTTGGGGATTGTGTTGCTTCAGCCTGGGGTAATGCCAAATGGACGGAGAAGTGCCTTGCTGTGAGCAGCCAGGTAAGGGTCAGGGCTTTATTCATTTGGGTTTTTTCAAAGAACAGGAATTGATTGTATTGATCCTTTCAACAAGGACATGCTTCCTCACCAAAGAAAAGTAAGGTCAGGATATCATCAGTGACATAATTCAAAGATGCATGCCCTTTAGGATGTTTGAAATACCCAGCTCTGGGAGTCAAGTGATTTTGTGTGGTGATGAACTTTTTAAAATGCTGCTGACTGGGAAAAAAAAAAAAAAAGTGAAACTGTGACATAGACCTCTCTTCAATGGTTCAGAGTCCATAAAGAAAGTTCAAAATAACGATCACTTGAAAAACCAAGATGTAAAGAGGAAAAGGAAAGTGACAAGTCACACTATTTTAGCCCGTGTGTTTTTTGAGACCTGATTATTGATATTTGAACACTTTGAGCTGGTTATATGCCAGAATATGTACCTCATTACTGTCTGAATCCTCCGACGGCACCCTGGGGCCAGTGTTTCTTTCTGACGTGTCTCTATGAACTTCTGGGCATGTTTGAGCAGTGACTTGCTGGGTGGGAAGAGGCCAGTGCAGAGCCAGAGGAGCTGCCAGCCCTTGGTCTCGCTGTACCTGGGAACACAAAGTCAACAGTTCTGCTACAGCCACATGGAATTCTCTGTTTGACCACACACCAGCTACAGGGAAGAGAAATAAACTCTCATCGTGGTCCCATGGTGCAGAGAGCTGCAAATCAACAGAGCCTTCACCCAGCTCTGGCATTCATTTGCTGTGCAACAACCACAACTTCCATGTGAAGAAAAGCCAAGTCCTGCATGAGAAGTACATATGACAAATGCAAACCTCATGAATAAATACAAATTCCAGTTTAGCAGACATCTTAGCAGTAGTGACCCTGGTGCCATCCTCTTGGAAAACCACTGTTGATTTGGTGTTCAAGCTCACATGTATTCAGATCATGGTTTCTCAATGGATGTATTCACCTGCCCCCTGCACTGGGCAGCTTTGCTCAGGGCATGAACATTTTGCATGCACTGACTTCCCCTTACATGTACTGTTCTGAAAAATGAACATGTTGATAGCATCATGTAGTGAGGTAGATGCAGTTCTTAAATGCTCCAGATCAGGCTGTTAATATTTTTCAGGCAGAAATCCAGTTCTAGCCTTTGCATCTGTGAAATCTGACAGTTGAAGCTCCTCTGGCACCTTGCCCTCACCATTAAGAAGGGCTCTGCAACCTTGAGGTGGTCAGTCATTCTTCCTCAAAGCCAGGAGCAGCACACTTCAGCTGTGTCCAAGGAGTGCTCTGAAATGCTCACTGGTGTGAAGTGGTTTTGGTTGGGAAAGTCAATATGCCTGGTTCTGAAAGGGCAGACTTCACTGAATAAAGAGGTTCTGGCTTCTTTATTTCCACTTACTGTTCTAATTTTGCAGATGGAGACAGACTATTTTAATCCCATTTATACTCTATAGAGTGGTGTGTGAGAGCAGGACATGGTCCACAGCACAGCAGCCTGGGAAGGGTGAAAGATTTGTTGCTCTGGCTGTTCTAATGAAAGTATATGCAAATAGGCACCTTTCAAGCATTGTTTTTTCCACATCAGTGATCCCGCTCACATTGGTGGAATACATCAGGCATGGCACTGGCACGATGGTTACAGATTATGCATTAAATAGCCTGTAAGATCCACTGCTTGCAAGGGAATTTACCATTCACCACCAACACACATGATGGAAGTTCCACTACATGCAATACTTGTGGAACAGAAAAAAGAAGATAAATAAATAAACAGAATGCATCCAGAAACTACAAACCATTTTGTTCATAATTAATATTAAGCTGATTTTTGCAATTCAGTTTTCCTGGAAGTAGATCAGGTTATCATTTTGTGAGCGGGGAAGAAAATATGAGCCCTTTTCAGAGACTTTTATGTGGGCAGGTGCCTCTGTAACCAATCTGTTCTGCAAGACAGTTTTGTAACCTAATTAATATAACTACTCAAAAGTATTTATTCACTGGTGGTAAAAATCCAGTGCGAACTACGTTTTTGTGAGAGGGGAATGCTGCTGTTTGGAAGTTTAAATGGGGAGTTGTCAGGGCAGTCACTGATGGGATGCAAGGACTATGCAGTGCCACATTTCCCCTGCAGACTGCTTCGGGAGCAGGAGAGCCTCAGTGACATCTTCCCTGCCTCACGCCACAAGGAGATGAGCGCAGAATGCTGATGGGAGCAAAGCAGCAGCTCAGGGGAGATGATTGATGGTGCTCTCTGGCCTCTTCCTGCCAGGGAGTAGTCCTGAGCGCTCTACAAAGGTAAGCACTGTCTGGCAAAAGGGGAAAGGGAAGCTGTTACTCCAACAGCTGTTTATTTATCCTTTGTTTATCCTTCCTCTGCCTCCACTAGATCACAAATGCAGCAAGGGTTCCTTGCTGCAGTGCCAAGGATGTCCCCTGCACTTGAGGCTTGGCTTTGCAGGAGCAGGGTGTTTTTGTACCCAGGTAAATTAAATACCTGTTTCTGTTCTCAGTCAGTTGTTTCATAATCTGACAGTAAATCTCATCCCTGAGGACCTCCTCCTGGATAGCTGGCACAAATATCTGGTCAGTGACTTCCACGGAGGAGTGTGCCTGTTTTGAGGGGTAATCTCCCATGAATTTCATGATGGGTGAATGTGCTGTTAAGGAGAAAAGTAGAAGTTTCTGAAGGCAAATGGGAAGTTTCTTCTGGATCCTAACATGTTAGTGACTTTGTTGATGTCTAAGTGGCTAATACTGGGAGGAAGGTCTAAAGCGTGTTCCCTGTCTGTCCCCTCCCCCTTTGCAGCAGTGCTGCTTGGCTGTGATTTGCACTGTTCTAGTAGCTGCATTCTCTGGGTATATGCAGTAAATCTCTCTCACTCCTAAAGCCACATTATTAGTTTAGTGAGCCATCATAGCTGTGGAGTACTGGGAGGAAATTGGAACATTTCCCTATAGACGAGGGAAACAGATTTGTTCTGCTCCATCCTTATGCTCCATCTTAATGCACCTATAAGGTGGCTGAGGTATCTCAGTAGAGGTAATTTAGTGGTCCTAACTAGCACTTCCTTTCCCTCTAGTGTTCTCACATCCCAAAGAAAGGAGAGAAAGGATATCAATGAAGGCCTGACAGGCCAAATCCCGAAGATCAGGGTCTGTGCATGCTCTCTTCAGCAATGGCTGTTTCAGAGGCTCCTTGGAATGTGCCCATAGTTGACTGTGCCCACGGGATTTCTGGAGAACAGCTTTGCTGATGGATTCCTTTTCAGGAGCCCTGAATGAAGACAAGTGGAAGCAATACAAAATTATTGGATCAGTATTGCTATGAACAAAGGAGGTCATTATCATAAAGTCATATCTCTAGACCTGTTTTTTCACAAGACAGTGATTTCAGATCTCCTTTGATTCTGTAGGTCAACAAGAGCAGGGAAATGTAGTTTCCTGTATATCCAGAAGGTAGGAAGCTTGCAAAAAAAAAAAAGAGGAGTTTTTAGAAAACTAATTTTCCCCTTACTTTCTGAAGCCTGAGATGATGTATATCCTCACTAGCTGGTAACTGCTGAAGGAAGGGTGAGAAATAAGAATAGAACCTGCTGGAAGAAGTCAGCCCAGTCAGTCCTCCCCTTTGCATTTCTGCAGGCTTAAGACACAATAGGCCATGGGCCAGAATCTCTGTATCCAAAATCACAATTACAGGGAACAAAAAGAAGAAACGCAATCAGAAGTGGGAGATGCCATTACATAATAGGCTTTAAGGATTACTGATCAACAAGAACTTTTCTAGGGTGTACTCTACACAGAGAACTTCACCTGAAGTGTTCGTAGGAGAACTCCTCCAGGGTGTAAGGCTTCACCTTGATATCCTCTTCATCAGGTTCCTCCATGAAGGAGTTCTGTGAAGCTGTCCTCCTCTGGTCTGGAGACATCATCAGCAAACTCTGGAATAACACAGGCACACCAAGCTGTCGCATGGAGACAGGTCTTTGCACACACTGTCAGGTATTACTCAGCATATGTGTGCAGGTAGCCCTGTGTGCTGCCCGAGACCTCCTGTCTCAAAAGCAGCATCTTCAGAGACTCAAGAAAGACCTGGAACAGCTGACTCCAAGAAGCAATTTACACACACATGACATTAGTGGACATGAAAAGGTATGTGATTATCCAAAGCACCACACATGTTTTACAATGCACATGCTTCTCTCTAGTGTGTTTTGGCACCAGTTTTTCTGGTTTTTATCTGTTAGCACAGGGTCCAATATACTGAATCCTCATAACTGAAGACAAAAATTATTAGCAGAGGCATTAATAAGAATCCTTGGCTCCCTCAAAGACCATATTCTTTTTAAGTTACCTCATGCACTCAGAGGTTCTCTTGAGGCATTATGTGATTATCACTCAAGCCCAGAGTGAATGCAGGAGAATTCAACTACACAGCCAGACCTGTTAATTGCTACCAGTTGCAGGCACTGAAATATCCCATGGTGACTAGAGTTGATTTTGGGGTTTTTTTTTTAAGTCATTGCCTTTGTGTAGCTGCAGTCTTCTCCTTAGAGGCTGGGCTAGGTTTATTTTTGTTTTCAGACAGGACAGAATTAAATGCTTTGTTTCAATGGGAGGCATAAAACTTGTCTGACTTTGGAGGGATAATTATCTTCCAGTTATAAATTCAACCATATTAACATTTTTATCTTCTTCCAGTATTTTCACATTGAGTGCTTAGCTTTCCTTACCAGCACTTGACTGGAGGGTTTTGTGAGCGAAGGAATGATGTAGATTTCTTCCAAAAATACATTCCCTGTTTTGCCTGTCCTTTCATTCTGGGCACAGATCCAGCCAGAGTCTGCATCCAGCCTTTTGTCTTCAGTGAAGATTAGCAAGTCTCCCTTCTTGAAGGACAGGATGCCAGGATCTTCTGGAAAACAGAATAAGGGGGTTTAGGCTTGACAGTCTGCGAAAATGTAAAGGGGTTGCAATGTGAAAGACAAGGAAATTGTATTTTGAAGGCCTGAATTCAGTTAGCAGTAGAAAGTGATTTGTGTAAATATGGCTAATTTTCCAGTAACACTTCAGAGAAATCACTTCTGTTTCCTCTGACACCCTGACTTTGATCCACTGAGGGCAATGGCAGAACTCCATTTGATTCACATGAATGCTGACTTTGTGTCTAGACTGGCAGCAAAGCATGGAAAGAAACTCAGTAGTTGTAAGTAGCTGAAGTTAATGTTTATGTTTTAAACATGTATGTCTGTTCAAGCCACCTGTATTCCACAGGCAATTCCAGTTTACTGCCTCTGTGAAAATCTCCTGCAAAGTATTTCCAGAGAGCCCAGATCCAACTTCCTACTATAAACAAACTGGGTTCCTGGACACTATACTATCTAAATAAAATACATAAAGAAGGAGAAGGAGGAAGGAAAGGTTATTTGTGTGCAAAGGTCCTGAATCCCATTGCCTTATGCTTGGCATTGCTTGCTGATGCATCCCCCCAGGAGCAAAGGGACTCTAGATGAAGTTTTCCCTCTCCTCTCTGAGCAACTTCAAACAAGTGCTGTGGATTCTCTCATGATTTCTTCCACACCCTGTAGAAGAGTTATGAGACTTACCCTGAGATTTTTTCTCATGCATTGCCACAGCAAATTGTGATCTTTTCTTCAGTCCTTCCAGGAACATCACCACCAGTTCAGCAATGACAACACTGTTCACAGATGTCAGAACAAACTCCTCAGCACGAAGTGTGATGAGAGTGCAGCTCTGTCCGAATGACTTCACTGCCCTATGTATTATTGAACAGTTTGTTACCAGAGCATCTGAAAAACTTACAGACCCATTTGTAAACACAGGCAAGGCACCCACATCTCCTTTCAGATAACTCCCTTACAGTGAATATTGTGATCTCTGGGGTTGGGTTTGTTCCCATTAATTTGCCTTCCTATGAGCTGGTAAGTGTGAAGGACTGAAGTGGTTCAGCTTTACTCTGGACTCCACCATGTTTTGTATAGAAGTGCTTCCATATAGACAAAAGAACACCCTTCTTTTGGAGTAACTTGACAACTAATTAAATCTCTGGCAGTCCTCACAGGGGGCTTTTTTGTAAGACCTTTTTCTCTGAGTGACCTGATGCAAGGATGTGTGCCACGAGCAAGCAGTAGTTAACCCTGCTTTTCTCAGTGATCCTGTTCTGGTCCATGAGAAATATGTGAACTCCTAGCATGCTCAAAGACAGTGGCTTAACTGTGTCAGTTATTTGAGCCATTCTTGTCTTGATGCCTGCCTGTGCCTCCTTACACCTTTCTGACTGAACAGAATAACTTTACACCAGCTGGAAGGATCCAGTCCTTTCAATATTTCCTTTAGAGGCTGTTCAGAAGTTTTGCCTTTCTCTTTCCTGGACCTAGGCTAAACCACCTTTCCACACACAGATCAAATCATCTAAGGAGGTGGCAGAGAAGGTATACCCTTTCTGAGTATGGAAGAGATGGCATCTTCAGATCTTGTCTTTCTGGGGCTCTTACCTGTTGGTGTGGATGCCAGTTATTTCTGGGAAGGTCAGCTCAAGGAGCCGCTTTTCAGACTCATCCAAGAAGCAGATGCCTTTCCAATTTATAGCAATGATGAAGTGGTTCTTAGGCAAGCTGGGTCCTGAAAATAGAGAAAAAAAAATCCTTATCAATGCTATACAAGTCTTCTCCTATTGATCTTACATCTGTCCTGTACTCCCAGGCCCCAGGTATTACCTGAAAACTTAGTGACTTCAAAGAATCTGGAAAAAAGCAAAGGCCACTGAAAGCGAGCAAAATCTACAAGTTGCTCCTTCACAGTCTGAGAAGAGAGGTGGTCTTGTGTGTAAGGGGCCTGCAGGAAAAACACACACCCAAGGTTTTCTCAGTAAAATCTAGTTTGCATGATCTGCAGACAATAAAGAACAAACCCAACCTCAGAGATCCAAACAATCCTCTGCTGTTACTGGTGTCAAGGGAACTTGGAGAAAGTAAATCAGGAACAATCTCCAGGGACCCGCGTGCAGCTAACAGTGCCCACAGGCATCTGGATTCCAAATTTCCCTAGAATTCCCACTGATCTATTCAAAGTCTAACACAGCTTAGATGCCATTCAAATAATTCAGGTAATCCATTTCCAGATCAAAACCAGTGTGTCATGTCATCCCATCCTGACTTGGTCATCAGATGGAAAATAGCCTTAAAAGCTACTCTATTCAGAGATTTAAATGTACTTTTTCATTCTTCCCCCTTGCTCTTCATATGGAAGTGTGAGTGCAAATGTTTTCTTCTCCCCCAGACCTAATGAGCTATTTGGGCTCTACAAACAGAGCTGGTTTTCCTTCTTCCCCTACAGACTTCATAAATGAAAATGGTGAAAGAAGCAGAAATTGGTGCTCAAGAGTGGTTACCCAGCAGTGCCTGACAAACCTCTTACCTTAGCATGTGCATAGGTTACAAGGCTCACCCACTTTTCCAGTGGCTTGGACTTCAGCTGTTTTACTGGGATACAGTCATGGAGCACCTTCTGTACAAGTTCATTGTGGATGGTATCTCCAAATTGGATATAACAATATTTTGCACCTATCTCCACCAAATCTTCTTCCTGAAACAATCCATTAAAAGAGGCCTAGAAGGATGTCACAAAGGCTAGATAGCCTCTTTCAAACTTTGAACCATTTAGGAAATGGGTTTTCTCAATTTTTGTCTGGATAACTCTTTACAGTCACCCAGCATAAGGAGGGATGAACATTGCACAGTCATAACATCAGAGAGATTATTAGCAAAGATATTTTAAAGTACAACCCAATTTGCCCCTTTGGACATGCCTCTAAGCTCTCACATGAACTGGAAGGAGAAAGTATTAATTAGAACTGGCAATGTGACAGCTGGCACAATCACCTGGACAGGGATTGTTCATTAAGAAGGAAAGGATTGTTCACATCCACTAGAAATTTAGTTCATATTCCTGCTTTTTAATGTGGGAAGCATTAATATAGCTGTGTCTCTTTAGGAGGATGAATGAGGAGACTCACCTTCTCACAGCGGTACTCTCCAAACCGAACGCCCCGGATGACTTGGTGGTAGATGAGATCAGTGCTGACAGGATCCTCCCGGGAGTTGTGCCAGGGGGTGAAGATTTCCTTGCGGAAGTAGAGGCGCCAGGGCGCGTGGCGTTCGTGGGTGCCCCGCTCCTTCACCAGCTGCTCGCACTGCGAGATGGCGTCCAGGACGTGGTCCCGGCCCCCGCCCAGCGACCAGACCTGCGCAGGGGCACACTGCATTTACTGGCATGCCTGCTCTGGGCCTACCCGAAGGACAATAAATGCAAAGCCCCTGGTCTCCTGACTGCAGGAACCCCAAAAAGGTAAGCAGATGACTATGTGAGTTGTATGTGGTAAGTGGATGTATTTTTACTAGTCAGCTATGTGGCAAAGGAAACCTGGCGGGCTGCAGCAAGAATTGCTGAGTGATGAGCCAAGAGAAAGGCAGAACAGGATTATAAGGCCTTGAGATCCATCTGGGATTCAGAACTGATTTAGTTTCAGTGCAGGACTGGGTTGAGGGTGTTCCAGAATTCAGGAGTTCTCAGTGAGGCTGGGTGGGCAGCAGCAACTCCACAGAAAGAGAAGGGAGCTTTCATTCTATTTTTCTACACTTTACCTTATCAAACACAGCAATGTAAAGTGAAAACCCAAAGACATCCTTCAGTTTGGTTTTATCTGCTATGAACTGACAAATCTCTTTGGCAGTGGAAGCAGAGTCTGCAGGGACAGTGATGCTTTGGCCATTCATCAGGGTGACGTTAAACATAATGGGTTTCTTCTGCTTTGTTGCCTGTAAGTCAGAGTTAATAGAGAGAAAAAAATTGTGGATAAACCTTACTTTCTTCTGAAGAATGAAGTAAGCTTTTAGATCTAAGAGCTACACACCCTGTGAAACCTGGTCAACAATCTTTAAGTGAATCGCCAACACCCACACAGTTTCTTCAAAGCATCAAAGCATGGTGATACGTAAATATAAATTACATCCCTGGAGCAGCACTGGACTCAAGTTTTCTCCTCCTCACAGCTCAGGAGAGCTGATAATCACATAACAGTGCCAACTGATAGACTTTTCATTAGCCACGTTTTTCCTGATAACTTTTGGGAGCAGCCTTATGTGCATCAGTGGAGAAATGGCCTGTAGCAAGTACATTGCCCAGGAAGATGTGTGTTAAGCAGTAGGGTCCCTGAGATTTAGGGAGGAATTGAACTGAGGTCTTTACTTGAAAGGGAAGGGGGTTGTGATATTTAATTACTAGGGTGACATTTAAAGGAAGTGGAGGATGAGATAGCACCATCATACTCCCTTCTTCCTTTCATTTTAAAAGCATAAGCATTGCTCAGTTCTTTCCAAAAGTGATAGTAAGAGCTTTCCTCAGGAGGTTGTTTCTGTCCTGTGGTTCTTGAGTGGATGGAGGTACCTCCCTGCAAATCTGCTGCTGCTTACATACTTTTATGCATTTAGGATAACTGAATAGCCAAAATAGGTGTGTCCAAGAAACTGGCCAGACCATGGTGGTTGGTCTTCAATCCCCTTGTGCAATTGATTTCCATTATTTGAATTAGGAAAACCTGCTATTACAGATTAGTGAATGTAGTATAACTACAAAGTAAGTAGTATAGTTACAAAAACCAGTATTAAATGTCCCAGATCAATATAATTAAGTCAAAAGGGAGTTGCTACCTGAAGTTCCAGCCAGCTGGGAGGTTCAGTCCGGGCCCCGTTGCTGTAGGTGCGTCTCAGACGCTCAGCACAGTATGGAGCGTAGCCTGTGGGCCCATGGTGGATGAAATTCAACAGATACTACATGCACAGAGGAGGAGTTAGGAAACATTAATCCTCAGAAAACATTAAAAACCTTCTGCAGCTGATACACTAGATTAGAGTGATCCATTAGCTCTCAGTTCACCAGAAAATACTAAAGATTGGGTTGGAATAAATGTCTTCAAAAAGGAGGCTTGAGACACTTTGTTTTCACTCATTCTTCAGAACTTTCAGTCCAGAGGGAGAGAAGATTTGTGTCAGTCTATCCACCATGTTTAACTACATGAGTAGTGGAGACTTTGTTCTTATGGTTAGGTTTAGAGCAAGAGTCAGTGTTTTCAACCCAAGAGCCTGAAGTCTTAGAACATGGTGTATGAATTGAAGAGTTGGGAAGAGGACTAATGGCAGATTAAGTCTAATGATAATTGATACTTTTAATTCTGCCAAGTTTTTATCCTGTGGTGAAGTGGATTTATCATCCATTTAAACTTGGAAATTAATAAATAAAAGTCAAAATATCTATTGGACATTTTAGGGCATAGAGATATAGGGTAAGAACTGATAAAACTTGAAGGTGTAATTTTATACTGGCCTCCTGAATATATTTAATCACTGGGGCTGTAACTGGAAACATCTTTTCATTGTCTTTGGCTGGAAAGGCAGAATTGGAGAGGTTAAAATATGATCCCTTGCAGATTATACACCTAAAATGAGAGCTGTGATCAACAACAGAATCCAGACTGTAGATGTGTAATGAAAATATTAAATATGAATGCAGCAATAATTTATTTAAATTCACAGATAAGCATATGAGATGAGAAAGCTTCTGCTGAAACCACAGCACCAGCTGCTCTGGAAGCCAAACATTTTATGTGGCTGTCAGCATCAAAACATCAAAATACACAAGACACCAGCTCAGCTGAGGTGTGTGAGCTGCTGTAAGAAAGGTTAGCAGTGTACCTTCACAAATGTGTCTGAAGGAGGAAAACAACCAAGGCAAAGCGACAGAAGGATCCAGCCACGAGCATAGCTGCTCCTGTTGCTGTTTTCTGTGAGTTGTTTGCAAATCTGGCAATAAATCTCATCTCTGTAAAGAAACATGTGAGAGCAACAGATATTTCACTGTCTGAACTCTCTTTAGCTGTTTCGACTGCAAGCTTAGCAGGATTGTAGCATGATGAAGTAGTTCTGAGCTAGGTTCAACCACAACAGCTAGGATAGCACCTGTAATGCACCACAGGAATAGCTTTGTTATGGAAAAGGCTCCAGGCATGCTTAGGGCCTTTTGCCACCCCTTCTCACTCAAGTGTAATTCCCATGCTGAATTCACTTCTGTGAGAAGCAGAGGGCTGTGCAGGAAAACAACTGCTAGGTCATCCAGCTGTGAAATGGCATTTCTGTCCAAGAGTCTAGATGTGTAACTTGCTCTGACCTCTCTGCAGCATGTGGATTGTAGCTCATGGCTCTTGTCTGTCTCCTTGTAGGTGGATTTGGGGATAAGGATGGGGGACACCCTGCTTAATTTTATATCTACATATTTATATATTTACATATTTATATATTTATATACAAACTTGTAGTGTGTCTTGTACAGAAATGGAGAAATGACAGCTTCAGAGTAAGCTTTTGAAAATACAAGTTATCTGCATCAAGGACAGGACCTAAGGGAAACAGATGCAAAAATCTGCATACAAATAAGACTGTTATTAAAAATCATCTTAATTTATTCTAGACTCTTGGAACACATATTTGTCAATTCTGATGTGAGAGGACATAAGTTGGATCAGATTTTTATTCCCTCATAGGACATTTGATGAAACACAAATGGAGGGTATAGGTATTTAGCCTGTGGCTATTATGATATATGGATTGAATGCAATTTTTGCCAGCTGAGCATTTGCTTTAGGGAGTGTTTTGGCTGAAACAAAGTGACTGTAGATAGAGGAATGCAGCCCATGACTGAGGTCAAGGCATGGCCTATGTCTGTGGGCTCTGTTGAAGAATAGTCCTTTGGATAAAAAAAGGAGAGTATTCATGAGGTCAGGTCAGAATCAATGAGCTTCTGCCATATCCTCACACCATGCTTGGCCTCGTCCAGCCTCACACTGCTTGTGATCAGGATTTATCCTTAGTGTCTGATACACTCACCAATCCAGACCTTTGACCATCTCTGATGTGGGGACGTTGCTTGAGTGCTCAAAAAGAGGCTATTGGGCCTCTTGAAATAGCCTCAAAAAGAGGCTATTTCATCCATCTAGTATACATTAACTCCATATTTTTTACTCCTCTGAGTGACTCTTCTCCCTCATTCTAGGGCAGTGCTCCACCTTCAAGTGCTATTGAGTCACAGCCCTGAGCTCTGCCCCTTTCCATAGCTGTGGGATATTCAGAAAGCCATGCATGGAGGCAGCTGGCCTAAACTGCACCATGAAAATAACAGAAAAGGCAGTAAGGGAGTCATTCTCCAGGACTGTGGAAAAAGGATGCTGGATTTCCTTGATGCAATGGGCAGCTGGCCCTAGGAAGGGGGTACAAATTTCCTACCTGATGGCAGGACGCAGAATTGCATTGCCAATAATGAAGTGTACTTTTTCTAGGTTGGACATAGGTCTCTGAGAGATTGAGATGTCCTCTTGGAAAGCCTCTTCTCCGCTTCGTAGCTGCTCTGTCACCTAAAAGAAACATTAGAACCCCAGAGTGCTCTAGAGATCTCCCCTCTTAGCAGGCAGCTCTCCCATAAATGAAAGACATTCCTTCTCTATCCTACTGGCTAAACCTCTTCCTGCTCAGTGCAGGAGAACCAGGCCATATTACCCCCCTTCCTTCTAAAGATAACTCATTATGTGTGCTGTTACAGCACTATCTCTGGCTGGGGAATTTTCATGTACTGTCCTGTACAGCCCTAATCACATGGTTTTCAGTCTGCTTAGGCCTCTGGGCAAGCTGTTCTGTAATGCCAACAATCCTCAGTAATAAATTTCTCCTTGTGTTCTCTGCCAGAGAACAGATGACATCAGTGCACATGGGGATCGTTTCCAAAGAACCCTGCACCAGGTATCCCACAAAGGGCTGCCCTGGCTTGGCAGGGAAACAAGTTCTCAGCTGGGAGGTTGCTCACATAACATCTATCAGAAGGTGAAGATAGCGTTTCAGGCAAGAAGAAAGGGAAGCAGTTTATTTCTACCTCTTACCTTCCCTGTCAGCTTGGATGACCGTTTCAGTTTCAGGGATGAAATCCCCTTAGAAATCTTGTTATCCCTTCTGCCTTCTTTCTGCAATACACATTACCATTATAGGAAATCAGTTTAATGCACAGCAAGAATGATTCATTAAGGACAGAAAGATGCTCAAGTGAAGATGTTGGTTTGTTTTTTTTCCTCTCATGCCAGAAAGAGCTGAGTGTCCTGCCAGGACATTTGCACTTGTGGGTTTTCAAGTACAGTAGCATGAAAGAGTTCCTTTGCTTTTCTCACTCTTGGTAGAACAGCACAGAAACCAGGGAAAGCAAATGAAAACACAAATATAGCCTACTTGTCTCACCATATTTGGGCTGTCATTCCTCAACTGGACCTGGTTTTTCCTGCCAAGTGTGTCATATATCTGTGTCATCACGGAGCTGCTCTTGGTGGTGGCACTCTTGGCAAACATTGCTGGCTCTGGCAGGTCCCCCATGAACCTCAGGATGATCACCCACACAGCTAGAGAAGCCTATAATAGCAGAAAGCACAGTCAGACACTGCCAACAGGACCAATGGCTCTGTGCCATTTCTGCCTGTTTAGATTAAGGGCATTTTCTTTTACTCAGTCCAAATTGTTAAAATTCCCATTTCCACTGACTACCTACATGAAGAGTTTAGTTTCATACCAAACAACAAGACAGCAGCACACAACACTTTCCTGCTACAGGAAGAGGGTACAGCTCTGGTGGAAAGGTCAGATTTCCTCTGTGACTGCTGAGCCCTCACATTCCCTTTACTGGCACCTTAGAGATGTGCTGTGGCTGGAGGGAAAGGGTGAAGACTTGGCTGAACTGCACTCTGCATTTGCTGGCCTGGACAGATAAGCAGTGGAGTGGAGTCTGCCAGGACCTTTCATGCCCAGAACTAGAAAACCAAGTAATAGCAAAGTTCTTCAAACATGGGGTCCTCCATTCTGCCAGGCTGCTTAGAATTAAGGAAAATGCCCTCCTCAATCCCTCTTCTGGTTTAATGGGATATTGGAGGCCTGGCACTCCCCCTTCTGTCCTATCTCAGAAACCAACAACCCTAACAAGAGCAGAGATAAGCTGCTATGCTTCTTCTCTCATGCTTCTTCTCTCCAGTCCATTTTTGTCTGCAAAGGGTGTCTGGAGCAGTCAAAACACACCTCTGAGTTCCCTCTTTGGGAAAGAACAAAGGTGACCAGAGATCCTGCATTGAGCAGGTGTTTGTGTGAAGTGTCTTCCAGCAAATAGCCAAAAAATGCTGATGGGAACTGCTGCTTTCAATACCACAGCTCAGGACTATCTCCTTGGCTGTGGAGTCTCTGGTTTCCAGGGCTGTGCCAGAGCCAGGACCCAAGGATGATGGGACCTGTAAAGCCAGGGCTATGGAGAGAGTAGGTTCAACATGAACAAGGAGCAAGATACCAGGACGTTGTCCTTGTCTTCATGGTAGAGTAGTGGGTGCCGCAGCTGTCTCCGGATATGTGTATGTGTAGAAGACCCCTGGAAATAAGTAGCTGCAAACTTGGGGAAGGTGTAGTCTTCCAAACCAAGTGCTTCCTCTTCTAGCTCCACACTCATGGGAACCATGTCCAGGTCCACTTCCTCCAGCTTGTTCGGCTTTGTTTCTAAGTCCTGTGCAGAACATGAGGAAAAAGCATATTTTCTTTTACTGAACTCTGATATGCTTATGTTTAGTTTTGGTTTTTTTTCCTTTGGCCATAGGTTTTTCAGAATTTGCCTTTCCAGCTAACCCCAAAGCCATTTACAGTTTATCAAAACATCATTTGGACTCAGAGTTCGTCCTTCTGAGATGCATCCATTCCATATGGTCTTCCTGTCTTGGTCCTCAGCAAGAATATTTCTGATGGAAAATCTAGGTGATACTGTTTACATCCTGTACTTATCCATACCATTCTATTCTGCCCAACTCTTCCTACAAAATTCCAACCTCCACAGCTATCAGGACAAGTATATCACAAGTGTTGCCTTCTAGAATATGGTATAACTTGGGTCATGAACTTTCAATTTGTTTCAGGCAGAAAATCACTGAGAGCACTGTACGCAGAGCATGAGGTTGGTGCCAAAATGCAGAGGGTGGTATTGTTTGGCTGGGCCAAAGAAACAAATGCAAAGTTTGAAGCTATATAGTCCTTAGACTGCATGTGACCAAAAACTTTTGGGAACTCACCTCTGCAAGAGATGCCTTAGTGACTGGATGACTAATCTGGGGGATTCTTTCACTGAACAGAAGTTCACTAAACAGAACTGAGCACTGATGGAATTCCAACTATCAGTGGGCTTACACAAGGGACAAGCATGACCCATTACCAGTTTGCAGCTCTGTACCTCAAAACCCAGAGGAGCCTGTCCTTCTTGGCCTCCGATCACAGAAGGTAAAAACCCAAAAATTTTGTCCACCATTTCCTGGTCACTGATAACATCATGATTTGCTGGTTTATTGGCAAGCACGTTCCTCCTCGGTCTTGCTTCTGCTTCCTCTCTCCCCTGAGTTGGCAGATGTTCCTTTAAACACAGAAATAGGCGACTTGAATGTGAACATCATGAATGAAGATCATTCTGCTAGAGTGAAGGGGTATGAAGATGAAACACTTTTACAAAGCTGTGTGACTGTGAGGTCCAGCTCTGCCAGTGCAGTGCTGAAACAATAAATCAAATGTTGCTTGTGTCAAACAGTCACAAAGACCTGGCACATCAGCAGCAGGGCCCTGCTCTTACAGCTGTCTTTATGGACTGTTTGCCTATTGGTAATGATGTGCAATTATATAAAAATTGAATCAACAGGAGATAATACAGGAAAAACACAGAATTTCTAACAGCAAAAAGCCCCACAATATTTAAAATTTTAAAATGTTTTGTGTTATGAGACTTGTAATGGCATTGGGCATATTTGGCTAAAGTGCTACCTTATGCTGCAAAAGAAATGTGTATGTATTTGCCTTGTTATATTTTCAAAGCATCATTACAAATAGGATTACAACTCTGTCTTATCTTTCTTTAAATATAGCAGTGCTCAGAGGTTTGAGCAAGTCCACAGGTGTGAGCTGGGTAATGCTGGCCAGTGTTCCTCTACCAGCATACCTACCTTTTGTAATCTCATAGCCTCTTCCCTTCCTTTCAGTGGTCCCAGGTCTTTCAAGTGGATATTCCTGGCTTCCAGCTTGTTCTGTGGACAACAGGACTGTTCTGTGACTGTCTAACTGCTGAACGAACTCCCTTCTGCCTTTAATAAACTGTCCACACCAGGACTTTGTCCCAACAGAGTCTTAGTTCAATATTTGACATTTTAGGGAACAGTCCATAGGCAGAAATCTGCAAACTGGCTTAGTCCTGTTGGTACAGCATTAGTACAGAAAGGAAATCAGGGAGAGGCCTCTCATGTGCTATGGACTGACAAGGGTAGCACCTACCAAGACACACTGTGTTGGGATTCCCTTCTGGCACTCCCTGAGTGCCACCCTGCTGTAGAAGTTAATTTCCCCTTGGAGAACTGGCTGATGCACACAGATCTTATCTTTTCTCCCTTCTGTCACAGCCACTGCAGCTGTATCAGTGAAGTTTTGATCCACGATAATGATCACATAAAGCAAATGTAAACAAGATCAATCTGCTTAACACTCTGCTTTTGTACTTAGCAAGAGTTCAAAATAAAACACCCCAAAATGAATATCCACACCCATTGCTATGTTAAGGCAACACTTGCCGGTGATAAAATCTGTATTGGAAGTTCATAGAAACAATGTGTTCACGAGGTATCTGTGAGCATTACCTCCCTCTTTATCCTCCGGTAGGTTTGGCGAGCGAGCATGCCCCTTGCATATGCCTGTATGACACAGGCAGCTTTCTTCTGCTCTGCCAGCCTCTGTCGCAGCAGGAAGCCGCGGCACAGGGCCTGGAAGGCGACGATGCGAGCCCGCGTGGCCTCGTACTGCTGAGCCAGCTGCCGGCTGCGGTACAGCGCCTGCAGGCGCCCGAAGCCCAGCAGCACCTGTGGGGGACAGGGAGAAGTCATGGCTCCAAACCGTCGAGACGGGTTGGGATGAGTAGAAGACAACAAAATTTGGTAACTGGATAAAGACACTAGAGGTGGCTAATGTAATAGTGCCCTTTATGCTTTGTTTTCTAGCAGTAATAGGCCTTTAAAACTAGCATATAGAGTTATTTGGGTTATCTGTTCTAGGGAGTGGCTAGAATTGACAATGGTAGCCTGGGATCATGACAAGAGAAGGAACAGAGCAGAAATGAAGCCAGGTGAATGGAAGCAATCAGACAGGAATTGCATCACTGAATGTTTCTGACTAAAATTGGCAGTTTCTCCTTCCCATCTCAAATGGGATGTATGGGATATAACAATAATAATAATAATAATAATAATAATCCCTGCCACACAAATACATAATCTGTGAGTGCCCCCAGTTTTCCTCACCCAGAAAATGCACCATCTATAGAAGATCAGCCAGGTTTTTTTTCATACAGAATCACACAGAATTGTCAAGGTTGGAAGAGACCTTCAAAATTATCTACTCTAATTGTCAACCCAGCACCATCATAACTCCCCTAAACCATAGCCACAGGTGCCACATTCAGATGCCTCTTCAACACATGCCAAGATGGTGACTCCCCCACCACCCTGGATAACTTATTCCAGTGCCTGACCACTCTTTCAGTGGAATTTTTTTTCCTAATATCTAGTCTGAATCTGAACCTCCCCTGGCAAAATTTTTAATAATGTGAGATTAATATAATGACTTTTCTGGTAATTTTTAACAAAGTCCCAGTTTTCCTGCAGTTTTCCAATTGTGGGAGATACTTTGCTCATAGCATGGTGATGATGCACAAAGGCTAGGCTTGTGTTTCTGGCTATAAGAAGTGTGGGACCACTTATATATTAGGTTTCTGGAGCCAGGCCTGCCAAAGGTGAGTTTGGTTTCTGAAATATCCTACCCCCGCAGCCCCCTGAAGTTACCAGACTAGTCCAGATCTGAGAGGGCTTTGGGGGAAATATTTCAGGGGCATTGGCAAAAGATTCCAAAAGAGGCTCCAACTCCCGACATGGTCAAGGTGTTTATTCCAGGGGAGAAGAGGGAAAGAGAACAAACAAGGAAGAGCAGAGCCTTATCTAGACTCCTGCTCAGGAAAAGATAGTTGGCTTTCAGCCAATTAGGTCAAGAAAGGAAGGAAAGGTTAAACTAACATGGTCACAGCCACAGGGGTCTCTGGGGAGGGAAAAAACATTCCCCAGAGCAATCCAACTGGTTCCTATTTCACCAAAAAGCAGAAATGTCACAGGTTCAGCAAGCCCTGAGAGGTCCCAGAGCCCTCCTTGGACTTTATACTCTCCTTTACATGCCGTCATCTTGTCTATTCTCCCTTCAGTTGGGACAATCTTAATTCCTAATACTCCTCTCAGTCTGACAGGGTACAATATATAAACACACTCACGCAGAAATATATATTCATTCATACACCTTCATCTTACCATTCTGAATTCCTTCCGGCAGCAGTAGCCTCTCCAGGCTGACTGAATGGCTATAGCAGACCTCCTCTGTTTCAGGAATTGCTTCCTAAGCAGACAGACATGTGAGGTAACAAACAAAAGGTTATCTCTGTTGTTTCCTATGCTAGTAGTAGAAAATGAGGTGGCTTTTTTTTCTCTTTTATGTCCACAGTCTGATGTCAGCCTTGTTGCTGCAAAAATACTCATAGCAACTACAGCCCAAGCTAATTGCTGTGGTCAGAGAGCTCTACAAGAACTGAAAACCCTCACATCAAGACTGAACAAGTTAACTTCCCCATCTAGTAACCTCTTTCTCTCCATTTTGCTGCCAGGATGAGGAGCCCATCTGAGCAAGATGAACCTCCCATGGCACAAACTGTCACACTGCAGCTGAAAAAGGCAGCACATAGCTCTGGCAAGTTAAAAGTAAAAGCAAAGTGAGCATTTTGGTTTGGATACTCTGTTGGATAGCAGTCAGAGTCTGAAAAAAAAAGAGAGAAGTTTTGGGGCATTTGTGTCATATTTTTTAGTTCTTCCTTCACTATGGTCAAACCAAGACTCAGTCCTATATCATGGTTCTGATTGAGGGGATACAAGACCCATAAGTACAAATCATGATGTAAAGCACTTAATGAAGAAAAGCATTTATTCGACAGCAACTAAATTTCACTTCTGAAGAGATTTCAAACTAAACCAGACGCAATGCAAGAATTAGGCATCTCTGGCAAAGAGAAGGACTAGTTAGTTTCTATCTGATTCTTATCAATATATCAAAGAAGCATCCTATATAAGAGAATTCTTGTATTTCTGAGAAGGACACAGATTCCATGGGAATTTCCTGCTTTCCAGATGTCTACTGTTTACTAAAAGTCTTAAAAGCAAGTCCTCCTTTCAAACCTTCCTTTTCATACATGCCACAGCCCTGCATTTTGAAAAACATGACGAAAATAACAAAACTGAGCCAAAACACATCTTTGTCCGACATCTGCATAGATACACTCTGCATTATTACATGATGAGCATGAAATTTAGGCTGGTGGAAGGTATAGCCTGTTACATTTTGTACTCAAAAATGTGGCATGGAGTGTGTTAAGCTGCACCACAAAGATTAGTTACTTCAAAATAAAGCAAATTCCCTTCTGTAAGATCACTGACCTGTCCTTCAATCCTCTCATCACCTTCTGGATAAGAAGAACCTTATCTGTGAGTATATTTTGGCGTTGGAGCTCCAATACAGTGTCATGATGATCCTGTTAAAAGAAAGTGTGGATATGCCAGCTTAGCAGACACACCTACAACCTCTGGAAATGGGACATATGATCAAAAAGAGACCCAAAATCAGCATGATGTAGTATAATCTGACTAAAATGCATTGATGGGACTGACTGCAGTAGGAAGAGTGCACACTACCTGACCAGACTTAGTCTAGATATAGCCATAAACAGGCAGGAATCTCCCTGCAGCAAGACTGTTTTCAGCTAGGGGTATGCTACAGGCAAGGTGGTCCTCTGCAACAGTGCACTGATATTCTGTTCTTTTTTATGCTCCGATACATTGCACTGTGCTGTTTCAGCTGCAGCACTGTAGCACAGAAACAGGATCAGTCTCTCCTACGTCAGATCCTCTCCACTGAATCCTTTGGCTTTCAAGAAAATAGATCCACCATCAGAGAGAGAGTTTGTAAGACAACCCAGTCCTCCTTGGTTGCTATTCTTGCACAAGCAGGCTAAGCTGTACTGTGAAGCATGCATTTTTTTCACGAAAAAAGACAATAAACTGTCTTTTTTACTTACTTTGAGGAAAATCTTGGTCCTTCCAACTTGCCAGCTTTCATCCTTGCCAAGCACTGCTTCGGAGATGCTGATGCAGCTCTGTCGAGTGTCATTCTTCAGCTGATGTGCAAAAGCATCATGATGTTAGGGCTTGGCTGTGAAACACAGCAAGTACAATGCAAGGATCTATTGCCCTGCATTCCAAAGGGTGAAGAACAGGAACAGATGAGGTCTTGCAGACCTCTGGGCTGACAGTACAATGAATGAAGGTGGTTCAGCTCACATGGTCAGGAAGAGGAGGAACATGATTGCATGACTAAACATTCCAGAGTCAAGGTGTGAGGAGGACAGCAGAGACCTGAGAATGTGTGATCACAGGAAAAAAACATCTGAGGGCAATGGAAATGGGGATGGTACCCTGCCTAGGATGTCTGTGAGGAGCAGTCCAAGGACAGCTGGACTTCAGAGGAGCTCTGTGTTTTCAGCTAAGGTCACAGGGAATATTTAACTATTTAGCTATAATTACTATGATAACATTCCCTGTGATGACTTCTGCTGTGCTGACTGCTCTCTCAGCTTTCCAAGCATTCATTCAAGAACTTCCTACTGCGGGAAAGACTAAAGCCTCAAAAGGAAAAGTTAGATTAGCCTGAAACCGTGTTTTTGCTTACACACCTTTTGTCGAAGAGACCATGGCAGAAGAACTCTGTATCTCTCGAAGAACTCCTCAAAGCTGTAGCGAACTGGGTACCCAGCCTTCCTGATCTGAATGGTCTCCATCATCCCTGAGTATCGCAGCTGTTTGATACATAGCTCTCGATCAAACAACTGAAAGGGAAAGCAGATAAGGAGGAGACTTAGCACTGAAAAAAGGTACACGTGCGGTATCCCACAGAACATGTCTATTAACCTCCGGCCTCAGAGGGCCTCCAAATGGCCTACTGTGCTTTTTTAAATTGTATTTTTCTTCCATGCACTAAAATAATTCATTGCAAGCATAAACAAGTCACCCCAAACGTCTTCAATTTTGTGTATGTCAGCAGTAGAAACAGTCTGTTAACTTCAGTCTGGCTACCATTTTTCATTCTAGAACTGCAATTTCAGGTGAACAGTGAATTGATTATATAATTTTGTAGGTGTGAATAGATGCATTAGCAACTTAGGCCTTTGGGCATACCATGCAAAGCACAACAGGCATGTTGCTCTTTTCTTATTATTATTGTTTAATCTTACCTGAGTTTAAAAATTGGCTCACTAAGCCACATGCAGTGCTTCAAAAAATTTTAAAGCACTTGATCAACACCATACAAGGTTTTACAGTAGAACCAGATCAAAATCCCCCAAGTCCCAGCTACACATCCTAATGACAAATGGACTCTTCCTGATATGTCAGGTTAAGCCAAATCACCCCGCTCACAAACTCCCACAGCTCTCCTATTCTCTCTCAGGCTATTTCATACTATGAGCACAGTTGATCCTAATGGTTTTTGTTTGTTCCTGTGTTGAGGGCCCACAGATTTTTCAGTTTTGTCTTTATCTGAAAAAGCATCTATAACTCTACTCAGGAATACACCTGTGTGGTTTTTTGCTAGCCATTACTCTATGGTGCTTTTTTGAGATGCTCTTGTAAATTAACCATGCTATATCCTCCTGTTATGTTTATTGAAGGAATACCCTGTACTTCAGCTCTTCTTGGATGCAGCCAAGTACAACTATGAACTGTTACACAGAAACTGACATTACAAACTCATTACAAACTTTACCAAAGGTAAGACTCTGTATTGTTAGAACATTACCAGTGGTTTCTTGTAGTCATTTGGCTTGATGCAGCGGATGAAGTATGGCTGGCACTGCTCAAGGATTTTCATTAGTTTTTCCAGGGATTGCTTGAACTGTCCTCCCAGTGTCGAGAGCCGCTTAGTGGTATCCAAGCCCTGGGAAGAGAAAGCACATGCTGACTGCAACATCATTCACTTTCAGAAGCCAATTAGTAAACCTTTGTATTTTTGTACAATGTTACAGTATCACAAAACCACCAGAAAAAAAATTATTTACCTATATGGGAGCTACATTGGCCATCTGCACCTTATTAATTTGCATTTATTCTTGTAAAGAAACCCCTCACTAAGTGCTTTCACCTTCTTGGCACTAAGTTCTAGCAGCAGGGGTGGCTGTGGTGGAAGTAATTCTACCCACAGGAGCCCACATGCACCTGTCTGTTCCAACCAAGGCTGTGTTTAGTGCCAGGCCTGGGTGCCAAGCTGTGATTCCTGGGAGTGTGCCTGAAAACTTGGTGAGAAACGTCCATTCCCAAAGGAGGAATAAACTCCAGGCCAGATATTTTGCTGCCATCATAGCTAGGAATGCTAAAGATCAGAACAGCCCGTTCCTTAGGGATTAGGGTGGCTGATCACCTTGCTCATTAATACTACAGTAAACAGTGAAAAGGCAAACTTTTACTGGAGTATTAACTGTGAGGTACTCCAGACTTCCCCAGCCTCTCTGACAGCACAATTCCACCTGTCTTCTTCACACAAATCATCACATTAGGCCTAAGTTTCTACATCTCAGTATGGGCACATTAAATTACAGTGGCAAGAGTACAGATTCCACTTAACAGAAGGACTCCACTGGCCTTTTACATACAGGCAATGAGAGCACAACACAACCTGTTTGTTTGTTTGTTTCTTTGGGGGTGTTTGGTCTGTTGTGGGGTTCTTGGAATTTTTTTCAAAGTAAATACTTTAAAGTCTAGTGGCTCCCCCTTACTTCTGTGATCTTTACACCTCATCCTGCTGTTCTTACTTCTGAAGTGCCCTTAAAGTGCCCTTCTGAATACTCAGATTTCCACTCTCTGCTTTAGCTACAGGGCAAGGCTGCCCTCCAGTGATCAATCATTTGTGTCTTTGGAAGACAGCTCCTGGGAATGTCTCATTGCAGCTCTGATGCATCTTAGAGCTAGCAAGCACCCAAAGTGGGTATAATAACAACATATATGTAGTTTAGTGATTTTCACTCTCAGACTTCAGAGGCCTTTCTGCTGTACCATCAGTGGGATGGCCACATATGGCCAAAGCCCATGCCCTCATGATCTCACACATTCAGTATTGTTAAAGCTGAATTTGTTGTTGAGTTAGTGGTGACTTTTCTGTTGTGGTGTGTCAGGAAAGGAACTCTGACAAAACTCAGGACAAAAAAGTGTTTTCTGGCACATCATTCATTATTCTTTTCTGTAGCCTGCTTCTTGGGCTTCCCAATGGTGGTACCATTTATTTGAACATCAACAGCTAATTTCTGTGCATTTTGACATGGGGTAGTCCACATTTGATATTTCCTTTCTTGAGATGCTGCTGTACTTTTTTTTCAATAACAGCCTTATTTACAGGGACAAGGCCTGTTGGAGCGTTAGATCAATGTAAATACACCTGATATTTAATCATGAAGGTATTCATAGCATTTAAGAGATGCCAAGCCAGTTATCTGCTGCTTATACCACTTCTGACATTCTTTGCCCCCAGGATGTTTACCTGTCCGTGGCCAGGTGTTCTGGACAGCAAAAAGCCACACTGGGACAAAGACAGAGGAAGAAAGGACAAGATCAGAAAACAATGCCAGGAGAATACACAGATAACAGGTAAGATTGCAAGTTGATTGTTCTGTATCCTGTCAGGAAAACTCAAAGATGTAAACAAGCAAAAGCAAAAGTACCTTCACATACTGGTGACACTACATAGCTGAATGTTCATAAATCAAGGTATGTGGAAGTTGGAGCAGGACAGAGAACCTGAACTGTGTCCCCCACTATTTTCTAATCCACTGCACTTCACACCCTTATTTTTACTAGGCACAGACGCAACAGGCCCAGTGGAGAGTATGATAATGACCCACCATGTCACACAGTGACATCCAGTTTGTGACAACATGTGGGGACTTGTGGTTCTGAAACAGCCTGCAGGCATGGCTACACAGATATCCAGGGTGCATACCTGGGTGATAGGGCTGACACTGCACTTGTTTACAGCCTGAATGCCAGACCCTGACTTTTCCTGCAGTCCCCTTGGCAGAAACAATTTGAATGACAGAGATAGGGATTTGCAGAGACAGTGCAAAACAAAGAGATCAAGAACAGCCAGAGCTCTATGGAAGGCAGGAGAAATAAGTTGTTTCTGCAAGACAGTGCCAGTAAACCAACCTTGTAGACCTGATCAGATCCAAGATGCCGAATGGTCCCACGTCCCAGAACAGGTAGGGTTGTTTCCACCTGGAAAATCTCCCTCAGGAATTTGTTTTTGGAGGAATGGACCACTTGCATTACATTAGCACTCAGTGTGTCACGATTTTTCTCCAGGAAATCTATAGGATGGAAATAATATTAGCCCTGTAGCCTGCTGGCTCTAGCACCACTGTCTACCTGTAAAATCCACTTAATTTCCAGTAACTTGCAGATTGGTTTAGAGTAATCCTTCTGACCTCCTGATCAACTTCAGATCAACACTACCCTGGAGAGCCACATATCCAGGTCATGCATCCATCATGCATCCAGGGCAAGTCATGCCCTTCCCTTCATCCTTACATCCAGCAGAGATAGGCTCACCTTTTGATTCGTAGAATACAACCCCAGCAAAGTGGTTGATGCCAAACTTTGTATCATGGACACTCTTAGGTGGGATGTAGACTTTACTTTTACCATGGAGAGAATTGATTTTGACAAGCATGGTGGCATCTGTGCCCTAGAAACAAATACAGATAAAAAAGGATGGTTAAGCATATTGTCCCCAGCACTGGCCTGTGCTCAGCAAACAAACAGAAGTGGTGCTTAGAGATAATAAAAGCTAAAATTCTGCCCTTATGTGTATAGTAGATCTGGAGAAAGTGCCAAAAGTATCTTCCCTTTTACATGGACCCCTGTCTCAAGCATCATGACAGAACACAATATCAAGCACAGGGCCTGATGTTCTAGGGCTGTGCACAAGCCCCCAAAACATTACTAACATCACCAGGTGGGCTGAGAGTTTACTAAATCTTTGGACCTTCCAAGCAAAGCCCCTCGCCAACCTTCTTATGCCCTCCTACCCAGGAAGCTGTAAGGGATACCTCCTCCTTCTCCTGGGCAGGTGCAGTTCTTGCACTCCCCAGCTGGTGCAAGACTCAGAGATCCCTGGAAGAATCCCTGAGAAGATCCCAGTCAGTATGCCCAGACCACGAGTTCCAGAGGCAAGGCAGTCAGCTGGGTGCTTCTCTTCAAGGAGTGCCATCATGATGCCATCCCCTCATGGGCCATGTGAGCTCTCTGCACTCACCTGCACCCAGGGCAGTGGGGACTTTGTTCTTAGAAGTCATGTGCTCTGGGAATCATGGAAGAGGTGATTTCTTGATCTGTGGGACCACCCTCTTCTTAGGGAAGAAAGGGGAAAGCTGTCTGCCTGTACATGATCCTCTCAAATAGTTACTGAAGGACTACAAATGAGCTGAGGCAGGGGTTTGCTTTTCTGGACCATTGTCATCTGATTCCTGCACCAACGTTCCAGTTTAGTCTCACCATGCTCTGCAGCCTGTGAAAATGCTCTATAGGGATGACTGAGACCAGATGCTACTTTCGTCTCTGCTCTTCTGTTTGAGATGTCTGGCTTTTGCAGGATAACATTTCACAGAATCACAGAATCATGGCAGACAACAGCCACAGGCTTTCCCTTGTGCACCAAGCAGGTCACCTTGTCATGGAATGAGTTCAGGTTAGTCAAGCAGGGCCCTTGCTGACTGGACCTGATCAACTTGTTGCTCTGTTCCTGCTCTGTGATGGTGCTCAAAATGATCTGTTTATGACCTTCCCTGACACCAAGGTTAGCTGCCTGTAGCTGCTCTTCAGTTCCTTACAATGCTGACATTGCTCAATTAAGTCTGTCAGCAAGGGGAAGAAAGAGCAAGCTGCAGCCCAGACCAACAGCAGAACAATACTCAAACAATAAACTATTTCAAAGATTTCCCAATAAGCCCTTGTAAAATGATCTGGACTCCTTCCTTCTCTGTCTGGACCAGCTGTAATAGTTTCAACAACAAGGCAGCAGGAAGATCACATTCCAGCAGAGAGTGAAGCAGTTGTGGAGTGAGTTAATTTGAAGGGAACATCTATGGGGAGAAGATATTGCCTCTCCTAATGTATCTGAAAGCCACTTTTGCACTTTTGTGTGTCTAAACCCAAGTGTTACCTGTGAGCTGTATGTGAAGCCAGGCATTACAAAACCAGAAATTTACCTTTGGGAACCTGCTCTCTTCATCAATGAGGGAGATGATATTCATGGGCTTGAGTGCAATGACTTCCAGAGCCTGGTGGTTATCAGTGAAATCAATGTTGTTCCAGGCAATGTGCTCTGCAAGGTATTCCTCTTGCTCCAGCTTGAAGACATGGTGCACAAAGAACTGCTGAAGGTGCTCATTTGCAATATTAATGCACAGCTGCTCAAAGCTGGGAAAGAACAAGATGAAATCCCATGGTCACCTTATCCAGTGCTGCACTGGTCTCTGCTCCTTGTTTGGCCTCTGCATTAAATGCATTCCAGGTACACCACTGCCATATTCCACAGTGCTGGTCACTGCCATCACTGCATGTTGTCAATCTTAGCAATACAAGGGAGGCATTTTCTGCCATGGCAAAGACCAGCAGCAATGACCCAGATAACTGTGAAAATTGCTTGACTTATGAGCATGTGACATGTTTCTGCTTGCACTGGCACTACCACTTCTTTTATTATTTACTCCTTTATGCTGCACCTGAGTATCATTACCTCATACTTGCTGTGGCATACTGTGCATGTCTCTGGGGTGCTCACCACAGTGAGGATCCATGGGGATTGCAGATCTTGGGAACAGCACAAAATAACAGGAGAGAACACAAAAGGTAGAAGACAGACTGTAGTGATCCTAGATTCTGTTCCAAAAGTCACTGAGGAACATTATCTGACTGAAGGCAAGAGGCATCAGTTGAAATGAATTGCAGAGACTGCAGAGTATGTGCTGATGGTTTGTGGAGAACTGATGGTACCTGACAACTGAGGGAGCTGCTGCCCCTCTCCCAAGAGAGAAGGGCAAACAGAAATGCTGCTTTGGGAATGGAAATACCAGTGGAAGAGACAGCAGTGGCATGCAGTGACACAATAGTGTGCTGACCAGGAACTTTGCTGACCTGCCTTTAGGAGTAGAGAAATGAAGCAGTCAAAAACAAAACAAAACAAAACAAAACAAAACAAAAAAAACACACAGAAACAGAAAAAAAACAACCAAAACCACCAAACAAAACACACAAGCAAACAACCAAAACCAATGAGAACAAACCGACCAACCAAAGAAAAAACCAAACAAAAAAATGATGGGAGAACACTGAGAAATATGTAAACATGAGCTAAAATGGGAAACACAACACGGTCTCCTTCATCCTACATGCCAAATGTGTCCCAAGAGATATTGAAAAATCCTATGGAACAGGAAAGTTTGGTCCAGAGACACAGGGATATACAACATCCTCACATAGTGGCTGCCTGCCATAGTAGCTCCATAGCAATCTCCCCATAGAAAATTCTTCAGGTTCTGGAACAGACATGTGCAATAGCTGCACTAAAATGAAGGCTGGGGAAGGAGGCAGAAATTTGATCAAGACTGAAGAAAAATGGAATCTGCATAATCAAAACTGGGAAAATCCAGTAATAGAATTTTCACCATTTTTCTGAGAATCAGGATGATTATGAAAAAGCATGTGTCTCTTTGTTTTTTTCATTCTTTCCCTTTATATCAGCTGCTTTTCAGCCTCCTGTTGCATTGCATCTGGAGTTTCCTACCTGTTGTTGCTGAAGTTTTCAAACCCAAAAATGTCCAGCAGTCCAATGGATTGATGTCTGTCTTTAGGCTTCTGAGAAGCAGGGTTGAAAATGGCTGAGTTGATTTTGTTCACAATCCACAAGAAAATCCGTCCATATATACCCTGAGGAAAAAAATGAAAGAGGAATTAGAGCCCATCATTAGACACTTTGGATATAACTTACTGCTTGCTATTGTGCTGTCAAGCTATGTCTGAGAATTGCAAGGGCCTGGAACTGCTGGGTCAGTATTTATCACATGGGGCTCCTCAGCCAGGAAGAAGGACAGCTCTGAAAGCATCCCCAGTCTTTAAACAAGGAATCTGTGAGCACCAGTACCTTCACAAAGGCATCCCTCCCATTGGCAGCTTGCACCACATTCAGAGGCCTGGACACACTTTCTCCTCGGACAATGATGGAGAGGTTTGTGAGGCTGTTCTGGAGTTCACTAGAGTCCACCTGGTGAAACAGTCATGGCAACCTGGTCATTCCAGGTGAACAAAGGAAATCCAGCAAAATTTGTAGCAGGAGGAGGACTATGACAAACTGCTTGTCTAGCAGCATCCACTGGCAGCTTGCTGTCCCATTTAAAGGTCTCCCAGCTTGAAGAGACATCTGCAACAGCATGACTGAAGTGTCAGCAGGACAGAGGCAACATGCCTGTTGGATGTTCATTGCTGCATAAACTCCAGAGATGTGCTCTGGCAGTGTGCTCATGGAACAAGGGAGAAGGAAGAACCAGCAGGAGAAGATGAGAGTTTATTACCTCAAGCAATTTGGTGGCAATGGAGAAGTGTGGAGAGTCTATCACATCAGAGCAGTCCAGGTTGTCGTACACGGCCGCTGCAAGGAAGAAACAGCCAGTCTCAGGGGGAACCATCATTGTTGTTAATGTAGCTGTATTTCTGTGACCCCATAAAGCTGGGAATGTGGCAAGGTACTCAGTTCTCATTTGAAACTGTTATGTTTGGTGGTTTTACAAGGAGGGTCCTGATTTCACCTGGATCCTGGGATCTACAGGGCTCTCTAGTGCCTAGAATGTCAGGCTAAAAACAGCAGCCAAACTGACAAGGTTATTCATTTAAAATAGTAATTGCTGGGGATCTGGGGAAGTGATAACTGATCCCAGAAAATATGTTTCTGGAAATGTTTTTCCTGTGTATCTGACTTGTGGGAAATTTAGACAACAAAGAGGAATACAAGAAATCCCTGATTTTAGTAGTCAGCATTAATCCAAAGAATCCAGCTGGCATCTCTGTGTCGAGCCTGCTGTACCACAAAGTGAGGAGCTCTTTTCTAAAATGTGAAAGCTTCTGGCATGTACTGGTGGGTCACGCTTGTCACACTGTGCCTGTCCATTCCAGAAGTGCACCTATGCAGATGAGTGTTCAGCAGACTTAAGCAGGAGGATGACTGCTATTATCTCCAAGGCAAACATCACTCCTGTGTCCTCTGGCCTGTGTAGAACAACAATTAGCAAATGTAAGATGGCATTATACTCTGCTGTTTCAGTTTGTGTGATAAGGGCCTGTTTACAGCCATGGAGACCTGACAGTGTGACAAAATAATAATAAGATGCTGTTTTTAAAATCACATGGCAGTGGAGTCACAAATTAGAATTTCATGGTGCTTATCTGCCTGCCCTTCCAACTTTGTTCACCTGTTAACACAGGTCAGAGCAGCACAACCTAATGTGTGCAGGTGGAAGCAGGAAGCACCCAAGGGAAGTACCTTTACCATCAAGTCTGAGGAAAGGTAAGCACAGGCAATGCTGAATTTACCTTGGAACTCTACATTCCCTAGGTGCAGGATTGCAGCCAGCAGCTTGCTGATGTCCCAGTGCTCAGAGTCTGAGAACATGAGGATCTTCATAGCCGAGCGGATGTGGGCATAATCCTTGGCGTCATTCCGGCTGTCACAGGACATGCAGTTACCCTGCAAGCACCACACTAACAGGTAAGGAACATCTTCCTGCTACCCAGACAAGGAAGAAAGCATGTGCAGACTGACAAGCCTTTGTACACAGGGTGGCTATCCTGTGAGTCCACAAGGATGCAAGGTAAATACCTATTTAGACATTCTATATCCTCTTCCCATGATTGTATCTTCCTTCATCTTTTCTCTCAAAAAGAATACAGAGGGCTCAGTAATGCATTTCTCCAGGGCTAGACTGAATACTGGGGAAGTCAAAAGGAAAAGTTGATGGGAAGGCTGCTCTGGAGCATAGAAGGACAGGAAGGTTTGACAAGGTTACCTACATTTACAAGGCTGTGCCTGTTTCTTTGGTTTCCTCTCTCTGCCTTGTCAATGGAAAATTAAGAGCCCTCGTCCCGAACCAAAGCAAGTCAGGTTGGATAAGTAGAAGGCAGATCTCAAAATAAAAATATTAGGTTCTAATGGAAGGCAAATGGAAGCATCCAAGGCAGTATCACAAGCACCTTCATCAAAGCCTGCACAGCAGTTCCTAGGATGGTGCTGCTGATAGAAACTGTTTTCAGCTGTAATGGATATGGGGAAATGCCTTTTTTATCCTTGCCATTTCTGACAATATAGTGTGATGATCACAAAAATGGAATATTCCTAGACATTTCAGTTTATAGCACGTAAACATGCCAGCTTGTACCAACAGCTGACCTTTACAAAACCATGGATATGTTCTCCTTTAATCCAATCCTCCTATTTCAGTATCACAGTGCCCTACTGCTGACCCAGGAGCCTTTTTATGGAATGGCCAATGGGCTAATTCCAGTAATTGCCCTCATCAGCTTTGCTGCAGGATCACTGCCATTTTGAAAACACTACATTTGAAAAATCTCCACAACTTTAATGGTTTTGCTTTTGAGACTCCAGGAACAGACTTGTTTTCATTTCCTAGGAAATAGATGCCCAGCTCATCTAATTTCATTAGAGGCAGGACTTAAATACATTCTTTCCACAGCTGTAGAACAGCCCAAATATAACCAGCTGGCATATTTAATATGAGGTATATACACAGGCCAAAGGATAGGATTTTCATCATGGCTTTCATGTTCTAAGTCACTCAATTAGCTATTTTCAAAAACCTCACCTATGAAGGTCCCACTTCTGCCACAATGGCATCGTAACTCATGGTCATTAGCATCAAACGTGGGAGGTTACACTGAATGCCAGCTGCCTGCATTATATATATAAAATTCTTTAGATACAAGAACTAGAATTCTTATTAAAGATATACTTATGTGATTGCTGTTCTCCCTGACATGAGACCCCTTGCATTCCTTTGAAATCTGAGTGTCTGTGGAAGTGGGAGGATATTGTCCACATTCTGTTTTAAGATGTCCTTTATGTTTCTTAGGTCTGACTTTGACAGAAAGCCTTTACCTGCCACAAGTTGCTTCCCACTGGTGGACAATACAGTAAGTGTCTGAAACTGATGCTCACAGCATTTTTGGTGTTACTGCTTCTGGTACTCTAAGAGAAGGACTGTTCATATTTGGTAACTACCATCTGCAGCTCCTAGTGCTTGCAATTGTTCGATGGAAGAAGCAAATGGCAGAGGGATAATAGAGAATAAAGCAGAGATTATTACCATAGTGAGATAAGTGTACTCTGAAGCAGTGCCCAGATTCAGCATCTTTTTCTGTTCTGTATTCATCCCCATTAGCATGCAGTAGAAGATGTGATAGTTCCTCTCCTCTGGAGCCTAAAAATAAAAGAAGTAGTCCAAGGGACAGCCTTGTCAGGATAGGTTTCTAACACAAAAACAGGCAGAATGTGCAACTGCCAGTGCCCTCACCTGCCGGCAGACCCGGGACTTCTCCAGGAGAAACTGTTCTATCCGGGCTCCTTCTATCACCCCGTTTCGGTTGAAGTGAATATCAATGTATTTCCCGAAGCGGCTTGAATTGTCATTTCGAATTGTCTTGGCATTTCCAAAAGCTGATGGACAAGGAACAGAGATAATATCTGTATTGTTGCAGTTCATGAACACCAAGCCTATTTTTTTACCCTTCCACTTTGCTGCTAGTATTTTACACGTTATGTTCCAAATGACAGTGCTGAGAAGCACTGGAGGATGTCTTGTCTCAGTCTGTCTCCTGAAGAGAGGGGCAAGCATACTGTGCACCCAGATAATTGGGTCCTAAAAGACACATTCAAATGATCCAAATGTGGTCTATATCTGGCCAGCAAAGAGATCTGGGCAAGTCTGAAGACCTCCAGAATGCTTTATTGGGAACATGTTAATCCCTGTGCAGAGAAAGATGGGTGTCTCAGGGAGCTCCCCTACAGATACATCTATGCTTGGCCAGTCACTTTGTCACTGTTTAGGGCAAATGCCAAACCAGGGGGCTTTGCCTTGGGCTCTGCAATCCCAAGGACTCTTGTGCTCCTGGCAGTTCCAGGGTGTGTACTACCAAGGCAACTCATCCTACAGTGTGAGAGCAAAGCTGCTGTGGACTGCATGGGAACATGGCAGAAAAGTAGAGAGAAGATCTACAGTGCATCACCAGTATTTCAGGGGGGTTACCAATTAAGCAGATACAACGGTTCAAGGATCTGTTTCTGATTCATTTTATCCTGAGACAAATGTGGTAAATCAGCCATGTTTGCTAAGTAACCCACCTTCCAGAATGGGGTTGGCCTCTAGGATTTGCTGCTCTATCCAGGAATGCTGGCCACTGACAGCTGCCAGAAACTGTAGTATTAGCTTTGTACTTTCAGTTTTACCAGCACCAGATTCTCCACTGCAGCAAGAAAAAGAGATCATTACAGGCTTCCTTTCTTTTTTTGTTAATGTGGCAGACCAAGTTACAAAAAAACAATCCCACTTAAGTTTACCCTGTGAATGGTAGATCAGACTGTCTTTCATAGAGGGCTGAAAAAGTTGAGTCTTTCATCATCTTATCTGCTCAATTTTAAGTTGTTTTTCAGATTTAGGCTGAGAACTAAATTCTCCCACTAACTAAAAACAAGCAAATCCATGGAATACATTCTGTACCTGTACAAATTAAATGACCACTTGCTTTTCTTCTTTATTGTACTACCAGATGGTCAATACTAGTGTTAGCACATTACCTGAGTTGGCTCAGCTATAATCATATACTATTGCAATGAGACTATCTGCTTCTTCACATTGGTGACAAACAGAAAATGGATTCTTTATAGGAGGAAGAAAGTTTCCATCCACCTTTGGGTTAGCAGAGGTTATTTCTCTTGAGGAAATGTCTAGCCTTGGAAAATACATGTAACGTAATACCCTGTCTCCAAGGTAAAAGATAGCCCTACATCACACACACACTCAGGTGTTATGTTTCTGTATGTAGTGATCACGTGCAGAATGTACAACCACATTCAAAGATTCTGACAGAAAACAACAGACTTCAGAAATCCTTTGCTTACGTTTTACCTTTTGCAGCCCTAACTGAAAATGAAGGAGCGGGGAAGAAAATATTTCCTTCCTGTTGTCTCTAGTTTTATCTGTGCCCTTCCATTTGGAAGGTCAGGAGACCTTCCTATGTCCACCTGTGTCCACAAGGTGCCCCATGCCAGATTTTGGTTTCTGCTGTTTGTGCTTTCCAAGTCCATTCACCTGATCACACAGCACTGGTCTCTCTTATTCCTCTTCATATTGAAGTAACAGTTATCTGCAATGGCAAAGACATGAGGTGGAAGCTCCCCAATCCTCTTGTTACAGTACAGTCTGATCTGATCCACCGTGTAGAGGGGCAGCAGCTGGTATGGATTCACTGCTACAAGGATTGATCCTGTGTAAGTCTGGAAAACAGTTGTGAGGATTATTGCTACATCAAACCTGCAAACAAGCATACAACCAAAGCCACTTGCAGTATAAATCTAAACAGAAGCAGCAGGGAAGCCTGGGAGATCATAGCATTTGGGTGAGGCTGAGAGCCCAGTTCCTCACTATCAGCTGCTAGTAAACATCCCAGGATAAGGAGGGGTTTGCCCAAGGGAGAATGCTAGGTGTAATCTCCTTTACACCTAGCATGTAAATGGGAGCTCAGTTCTCTGTCTCAAGTGTTTTGTTAAGCTACTTTTGTATTCTAGTGCAGATGTAGCTGAATTTTGCTAGCAGGCCAAGTTACAGTTACGGTGCTATTCATACAGTGATTTAGAAACATTTGTATACAGCACCACCAGTGAAATGAAGGAGGCTGTTGAAAGCTGTGGAGATACAAGGCAATAATATTGTTTGAAAACTACATTAAACAAATGCAGGCTGCTAGAGTTTAATATAACAGGTCTATACACACACCTACAGTAACTGTAGGATATATAAAATCAGTCCTTTTTTACACTAAATATCATCACACCTATGGTTTAAGAGGCAGCTTCTCTCTAGTAGTGTATATAGTAAGGGAGGCAAAGCGTGGAAAAACCTTAATATGAATTATAATATTACAAACTGGAAACTAAGGAAAAAAAGAAAATAAAAATGCCAAATTTCCCAGTTATAGATAAAACCTGTAATGGACAAAATATCCAGATTCTTTCATTAGCCATCTTATTACATCAAAAACAAGTAATTGTTGGCTTGGACTGTGGGACAATTGAAATCATGTCACTGCATACTAGTTAGGCTGATCCTCCAGGTAATAGCAGCATTAAGCTGTAACATGGGCTGGATTTAGTTCACTGTCAGTGGCTGGTGGCAATGATTGCTCTGGGAGGAAGTAAGTGGAGTCACTACCTGTGCCAGCACTGTGACTGAGGGGCTGCTGGTAGCTCTCCCCAAAGTAGTGGAGTGAAAGAAGAGAAAAACTGTGTTGTGTCTCCTTGGCCCCCTCAGTCATTAAAGAAGTCAGAGGGTCCTGTGTGTGAAAGCTCACAGGCTGCTCAAGTGTAGAGGCCATTCCTGGAAGTGACCTGGCTGTTCCTGGAAGTGACTGTGGCACTCACATAGATTTTGTGCTCCTGATGTCGGATGAGGAGGTTGTGCACCATGCCAGCTTCATGGAGATCCCCAAGGCGGATCATGTCCTCTACCCCCTGGACAGAGGAAGGGTGCATCAGGTGCACCATGTGCATATTCCGAGCCGTGATCCAGTGCTCCTGACAAAGGCAAGGCACAGACTTTAACATGGGATGCTGTGGCTCAGAGGCAAACAAAGGAGAGCTGGGTTAGACTAACTTCCTTTTTTAGTTATTTGAGCATAATACGTGCTCAAGTAAGCATGCTCTAACACACAGGTGACTGGCCTACAGGAATTAACTGGTTTAAAACAAGATGGTTTAAAACACTGAATGAAGCCATTCAGGTGAGTTCTGAACACCACCAATTTTAACACTGTTCAGAGTTACACTCTGAACAGGCTGAACATTGTATGAGGTAGTGATGAAGTGATTTCAGTGGGATGATGTTTCCACCTCAAGTTTCACCAAATTTAGGGATTGGAGCCCATCCATTTCCTTTTCCTAGCCATGTAGATATAACCTCTGTTTTTATGAAGCTCTGAATCTTCCTAGTGCTCAGTCCTGGAGAATCCAGGTGACCATCCTATACTTGCCTTATTTCTATAGCCTTTCTTCCAGTATATCCTACCTATATCAAAGTCAGACCACCTGAACAGATGGAGTTTTGGTCTGACCTAATAGGGCCTTCTTTTGTACTTTGTACTTTTACATTTTATGTTAATCTTTTATAGAAGTTTATAGCATACCCCACCTTGCCTTCATCATCCTGCAGCAAGATCCGTCCTGAGTCAGATTCCTTCACAACTGCCCCAATAGGGACATTAAATTCACTGTTTGGTTGAGTGTCCAGCCACACATGATCACCCTGGGGAGAAAAAAGCTACTGTTGAGTACAGTGACATACTTGATGCCACATAGCTCACAGGCAAACACCTCTTGGTCTTCCTTTTCTAGTTATTTGATTTCTTTACAAGTGTTTAGTTGAGTAAGTTCTTACTGCTTGCAGGCAGCACATTTACAGACCTTTGAATTCTGCTCTCAGCACCACAGCTGATCTGGAACATGACTTCGGACAAGTCATCAAACCCAGCTGTCTCACAAGAGGAAATGAGGCAACACTTTTTCCAAGAACAGCAATAATGCAGCTCCAGTACCTCTCAGAGGCTGACTGGGGGCACAGTGAATGCTGGGCAACTGGCTTGGCAGCCTCACATGAGCTATGATATTTTCTCAGAAGAGATTCTTGAGAACATAGACTTTGCCAGGAAAGAGAAAAACAAATAGATGTACATATTGGATGCCTGGAAATGTAAAGGCCTCTGTTGTGAGAAATTTTAGATATATATTTTTCCTGCTATAGCTGAAATGGGATCTCTCCATGATCTCTCTCATGAAAAAACCCACTAGCATTCTTTATCCAGCCCAGTCCCTCTCTTCACATAGGTGGAGGCTTATCAACATCTGGCACCTCTGCAGAGCAAGCAAGAACCTGCTCTGCTGTGCCTGGAGAAAGGGGTGAGCCACAGCTGCCCTTTCCTAGGAATAAGCAACATCTGTACATCTGTTGCCTGTACCAGTGTCCTGGTTATACTTCCCTACTGCAGGCTCTCGGGAGCACCTTCTCTTGCTCCAGTCCCTAATACAGATTCAAACAGAAAGATGGAATAAGAAATGATCAGAGTTGTAGATCAGTGTACTTTCTAGCTGTGTCTTGTCATATACAACTTTTGTTACACACCACAGCACTGATTGTCATAGTTTCAATGTTTTTACTGAAAAAAATATTTCTTTTTCCTCTCAAAATACTTTGTGGCTTACATTTAAAACCAAACAACCAATGTTAAGCATCCATAAACATTGCACAAGATTATGAAGAATGTTACAGACTAGCAGCTCTTATTTGTGTTGAATAAAACTCCAAAGGTAACTTGTGTAGTTTCAGTGCCACACCTTGTGACAGAGGTCACCTGCTCAACAAGAGGATGGCCTGGTAAGGCAAGACACCTCTGCTTCCCTAGTCTAGGCTAAAATTGTTTTATACCTTGTTGATACTGGGTTATTGCAACTTTCCTTTGATTGAATCATGATGGTAAGGTAATTTTCCTCCTCTTTGGGCCTCAGGCTAATCACTCAATCAGAGCAAAGAGTAGGACTTACCTTTCTGAAAACCACCATTATGTTTCAGATCACTGTATGCAACCTGCATGCCAAGAACATAATGTTAGGTCAGAAAAGGGCTTTGATGAGAACAGACAGTGGGGTTTCCTTGCAAAAAAAATAACATCAAAATGTCTTGAAATATTTTTTTTTTAAGTAGAAGAGATCATAGTAAGATACACTCAATGTAGAAACAATGACACCATCTACACAAAGCAAAGAACCCTACAGTTCTCTGAGTTCTATCATATAACCCTGGAGATGCTCTCAGCCCTAAAGATTTCACTGTCCACATTTTCATACCAAATAATTCTCTCAGTTAACTGCTAGGCACAATTACTGTCTGAACTTCAAGGTTGGCTCACTAATAAAAAGACTCCACAGTACAATGTGATTTGATGCACAGCAGAGTTACCTTTAGCTAGCTCATTGACCCAGCAGTTCAGTGGCTATCCCAGAGACACAGGTTTAATTAATACTTTCTGAGCTGAGTTCTGTCAGACCCTCCAGCTTGAACCCACCACTAAACAGAAACAGAGGGTTAGAATTCACCTTCCTTGGCTGGAATGGGAGGGATTGCAATAAAGGCATGAACAGCAAAATAAGGGACTGGAGGGAACCACAATAAAATTAGGAACACACTATTAAGAACATTACAGCCAAATCTCAGTGGCCAGAAATCTACAGCATTGCTTTAATTAAGGGATGGTGCAGTTTAGGCTGTCCTAATCAAGAAACTGAAGTCTTCAAAGCAACTTTCTGTCCCACAGAGCTGGATTTTGGGAGTGATTCCATGTCTAGGATGATTTGCCAGCTGGTTTTTCATATTCTGTTATTCTTACAGTGAAGTCCTCATGATCTCATTCAGGACTCAGAGGCAGGACCTATGTATCAACTTCAACACTGAGATGGCCTGTTGCTGTGAGTGGTGCAGGGTGGAACAGAAGCACAGTCTTTGGCAAATACATGCTAAAGATGGGCCACAGTCAGTGATTCACAACTGCCAAGCCCTTTTTCACTGCACCAGAAACCAGAATATGGCAAAAGAGTAGAAAAGTTGGCCCCGAACAAGGAGGGAGTGGCAGCTGCAAGCACAGAGACAGCCATAGAGGGTCACATCAAAGGGACAGCTGTCTCCAGATCCTGTCTGACAGGAGCCAACAGCAGATGTGGAGGGAGGAGATGCCGTATAATCCCAGGATATGCAGTTCCAACACCTAAAATTCTTATTCCCAGAGTGGCCACCCCCTGCACCTGGTTGCATGGTCACTTCCTGGCCAAGCCTGGCTCTCTCTGCTGCTGCTCTTGACAAAGTAATTCTGCACCATAAACCAAATCACACCCCACAGGATGGGCATTTACCTCTCCAGAAGAAATCTTCACTTTGCGGCTTTTGCAACAGGTCGCTCTTTTTCATACGCATTGGAGTAAGAAGGGAAAGGATGGTGAAAGTGGCCCTGGTGCCATTAAGTTACAGTTCTCCACTGCACAAAGGAGGAAATGACTGAAGCACGGTTATTTATTACAGGACTTTGCTCCCAGTTCAGTGTATATGTCACTTCCAGGTCAGGTGTTCCAGGGAACACGAAGGCTAATTCTTGCCTGAGTGAACCTTAAACTTAAGTTTCTCCACTAGGCCTGTATCCTTTCAGATTTCTGGAAAGAACTCTCAGAAGAAAACCTTTAGCATCTGGTCTTATCCTGCTCCAGCATGACTGACTTCCCTAAGACTGTCTCTCAGCCTATTATGTTATGTATGAAGAAAATCAGACCCTCATTTCTTCATCAAAACCTCCCCTTGGTTTTCCATAGCTCTTTTCTGCAAGAAAATGCCCATTAGTCTGTGTTCTCTCTGGTCTGTGTTTCACAGTACTTAGAGTTCAGACCAAAATTAACTCATCACATTTAACTGAAATTCATAGTACACACCCACATAATTGGACAAAGCATCCTGGTTTCACTCTCATTAATTTATCTCTCAACAAACACTCTTAACAAACATTTTGTCCCTGTGTTTCAGAATCCAGGTGCATGTTAACTCCCTAGCTGTCCACTTCTCTCTTCCCAAAATGGGACAGGATGGCTAAGAATTTTCCTCTGTCTATTGACTCCATATGTACTCTCTGTGGCCTTCTTGCAAAACTGGTAAAATTCCAGTATGGGAAAGAAACAGAAGTGTAGTACATATGTAGAGAGGCAGACACAGGGTTTATGCAGCCAAAGCAAGAACTCGGGAATCAAGCACATTCCAGCATTTATGATGAGCCCAAACAGTGAAGATGAGATTTTTTCCAAGTACCTTAATCCAGCCATGTCACCTTCCTCCGGGGCCCTGTGCACAACACTGTGCAGTAGTCTGTGTACCCACTATTAAACTTGCAAATATAAATGTGCAATAATTGTGAGCATGTGCTTATTTTCTTGTTTCCGAGGTTCAGTGTGGCTGTGCTGTATAATGGGGCCCCTGATGTAGCTCCACGTCCAAATCAGAGGTAAGAATTCAAGCATAACAATAAATAGTTGGGAGTAGCATTTGTTTATCAACATCACATATTTGTGTTTTAATGTCAGCCTCCTTACTTGAGTTTTTGTTCAAGTCTTACAGCAGCAGATACAGAAGCAGAAATAAAATGTAGGCCCTTCAGGGCTCAGAGACTTTTGGAGAGAAGCAGAAAGCCACAGAGAGCTTTCTTCAAGTTTCTAACTGCGCAAGCAAGATTTTGCTTCAAAGTAGTTCTTTAGCAGACTTATTTTTGATACAGTATTTAGATGTCTATATGCTGTATGTGATTAACAAAATTCCAAGTACTGGTTTTATTAGTTAAAGGTCAAATAGTGGCAAAGAAATCCAAGTACATACTTTTATACTACAAAGGCAGCTATCTAAAACCAAAGCTTTTTGTATAATTGGAAAAAAAATGCTGTGCATATTCCTTCAGCAAACAAAACATACCTGCTGAAATTCCAAATGGAGCCTGTTTGAGGGCAGAGAATCTCATTCTAAAATTAACTACATTGTTAACAATTGTGCCCAAGATACAGTGCCTGTGCTACTTCAGAGAGAAATACAGGATTTATGTCCTATAGACACTGTACTAGATGAAATCATAGGGAAATCAAGGTCATCTGAAAGAAAAGTACAACTTATTGTACAGCTGAAATAGGCACTAGAAGGGAGATTTTGATTTCCACAGCTGACATATTCAAGAGGTAGAAGGCAATAGCTGAGGGAGCAGGGACTTGATATACCAAGGGGAAGCAGCTAGGATGCTCTGTGCAGCACATGCAGCTAATGGGGTGAGCAGGCTAAAGGTGCCTCCAGAGAAGGACCTGTGAGTGCACAGGGGCAGCTCAGGCTTGGCAGGCACTGAGCTGTGCAGATGGGAAAAGACAGGAGAGGAGCTTGCCAGGAATGAGCAACGCGATGTACTGCTGAACACAGAGTTTGGTGAGGGACTCTGCAGGGCACAGGAACATTTGTAGTGGTAATTAGGGGTGATCTGTAGCATGGTCTATGCTGATTAATTGTTGTAGGCTTTCCTTTAAGCAAATTGCTGATGGTGAAGATAGTGACATTACATCTTAAGTAGTAAAGCTCAAAAAATTATTATGTAGCAAGACACTGGCACAGGCTGCCCAGAGAAGCTGTGGCTGCCCCATCCCTGGAAGTGTCCAAGGCCATGTTGGACAGGGCTTGGAGCAACCTGGGATAGTGGAAGGAAGTTCCACCCTGCTATGGTGGAACTGGATGAGCTTTAAAGTCCCTTCCAATCCAAACCATTCTGTGATTCTATGATGAATGCTGCACCGAGAAAAGCAACAAAATAAAATTTGAGGAACCCTGGTAAATTTAATTCTGCTGTTGTTCAAAGTAATAGGTCTGTCCAGATAGACGTGTTAACAAAACTGCTCTTCCTGACACTTCCTAATTAAGAGATTGATGTCAGGATCAAAGGGTTTAATTTGCTCATGGCACTACCTTTCATATTTTCTCTCCAGCTAAATCAAAGTGGCCTCGTCACTTCTGCGTCACCAGGTCCTGGATACCAAACATCATTTTATGTTAAACTAGTTATTTCTCTGAGGTTTCTGAAGCGAGGTGGATTGGGTGTAACAATTTGCAATTTAAACTGTTCATTCAGCAGTCCTCTTGCCTACACTAACCTCCTTCCCTTCCTCTAAGCAGATTTGTAGCTCTAAGTCACTGATGTCCGTTAACTCTGAAAGAGGCAGTGCAGGAAACAAACTAAATAAGAAGTACATACCATTACAGGATTTCCAAGTGCATCGCATAGTTTTCTTGAGCATTCTGTTCCTCAGGGAAAGGCTTATTTCATTCCAGCCTGTTCATGGAGTTGCACAGTGAGGCAGACTGGCAGGGCTCTGGGATCTGTGTCATTACACACCTTCACACTTGCCAAGTGGGCGCTGCTTACGCTGCTTGGTAGAAGACAGGTCATTCTCCCCCACTGTGCAATCCCATTATGGTCTGACTGTCACTCCATCCTTCCTTTTGGAAAGCAGCCAGGATGGTATTACAAGAGTATGTTACAGACTGATACTGCCAAGCTGTGGCTCACGAGGAACAAAGGCATGTGCATGTTAGTGTACGCACGCACTTACTGCAGAACGAGGGCTGGAATGGATGCCCAGTTATTCAGCATTGATGAGGTGAGGTTGTTTCAGACCCAGTGCTCCCTCTCCTGTGTGATGCATGTGGCATGTCACAAGTAGGTTAGGAGGTATCATTTCAGAAAGACTGGAATTTATAACAATTAGGAAGAGTAATTCCTAATTCCTTCCACTCTCATTAAATGCATAAAATATCCATTCTTTCATCAGTGATGCCTCAGTGCAATCTGGAATTTGGGACAGTAGCTCACCATGACTGCAGAACATGACACATACCTATAAAGGACTAATTTCCAAGGCAGACTATCATCATACTCTGATCCTCTTGGAAATTTTAGTATAGGATAGATTTCTGTGTTTTCTAGGCCCTTTGGTAGAATTTCCAGGTACCTTGGTAAACATTATTCACAAGGGATTTTTTGGTTTGGTTTTTTTTTGTTAGTTTCTATTTATGTTTTCCCTTGTCCATTATTTTCTGTTACACTACTCCCAAGTTATTTCCTTATTTTTTTATCTGTTGTGTTGTAAAGTTGCGATCCTGCCTTCGATTTAGTCAGTTGTGTAAAGTCATTCCATTTCTTTATGGAAGTCAGAGAAGTGCAATGACAGGAGCTTCCCATCACATACTGCCACATGTGCCAGCTCCTTCCAGAAAAGATCGCAGTGAAACTGCACAGTGCAAAGACCTAAAAGAAGTAAAAATCATGAGAACAAGAAAAAAGTGCATGATACCATTAACAGCATGGTCCTGAGCCTCACTTAAGGATCTTTGTGGCTATCTGGAAAAGACCAGAGCAGTAGAGCTGTAAACAGACACATTATCTGTGTTTCAGGGAAACAAAACAAAACAAAACAAAACAAAACAAAACAAAACAAAACAAAAGGTTTTCTGCATTTTTTCTAAGAATTTAGGATTGTATCTGAGAAACATCTGACTCCACTGCCAATTTCTCCTTCTAAGTGTTTTGCTATAGAAGATGTTGAGTAATGACTCAGTCCTGAGAGTTAGCTGTGTTTAGCCTGGTACACTGAGCTCCCTGCATGAAACTGTGCTTGCTGCTGGACAGAAAGTGTTGGTTAATAATGGCTTAACCTCTCTGCCACCCACTCCAAGGCACCTCTAGCACAGAAGAATTAGATTAATTTTGTCCTGAATACTCAACTTACTAAATTTTGTTGACTCTGAACAAGGGTACAGCATGCAGAATTAGAAAAGCTGCTGTTGTTCAGAAGTACACTAAATGACATGGGCAGCCGTTTTTTATCTGTCTCATATTGGCCTGTATTTCCCTAGAAAATGAAGGTGTTTTTATGACAGACTGAGGGGCAGGTCACCAGTACCGTATGCATTTATTAGACTCATCATTTTGAAATGCTGCAGGAATGCCAGCAGCCATCAACATAACACTCAATTAGCATATCATGTGCATGCCAAATACTTGAGTAATGCTACTGCTCAGAGGATAGGGGCTATTGAAACAGAATCCAACAACAATCCCTGAAAAATTCGAGCATTGTTTTGCCCTGCCCACGTTTACTGCGGAAGTCACCATCCCCCGAGAGCTCCGGGTGAACTTTCAGTCAATCCTGAAAGGCTAAATCCGGAGGAGCCACCCACGCGTGAACTAGATTGAACTGGAGCTTCGGGCAGGGCCGGCAGCCTCAGTTTTTTGGGAGAACCTGTCCTTCCCTTCCGCGGCCGTGGTGGGTCCCCTTCAGCCAGCGCGGACATGGGCATGGCCAACCCGCTGTTTGCCTGAGCTCTGCTCTGCTTTGCCGCTTTCTTCTGGAGATGA